CCCCTTGGTTATTCGTGGCATGCTGAGATGGCGGCAATGGTGGTCAACATCCAGCGGCGTCCTATTGCACCTCCTGATGGGTGGCTTCCACATCGTCGTGGTTGCCGGTGGTGGTTTTTGTTCTTGTACGCACCATCGTGGGCCTGAAGTGGTTAGATCGTTGTGGTTGTTTGCTGGAATTTCTGAGATGTTAGCGGAGGCCCTCCGTCTAGCGCCAAAATGTTGATACAAAATTTTACACCAACTAGAGCGATTTGATTGACCTTGACGGAATCGGAACGGATATGTGCATGATTAATGATAACCAACAATGAAGGAATAATGAATGCAGTAAAGTAAATGGCAAGAAAGGATTTTAAAGTGGTTCGGTGAGATGAACTCTTAAGCCTACGTCCACTGTTCTTTGTATTTGTTTTGAGAGCTTACAGTAATAATTCTAGGAATATGTTCCAACCCCTTCCTCATCGTTTGAGGGGGTTTATATGCAAACTTTGTACAAAGAAAAGAGCGAAATTAAAGGGATTAAAATTAAATTGAAATGCAACTCCGATATTCTTGCGATTGGGCTTTATGATTGCGCAAAGATTGCTATCAATCTGATCATTCTCGAGATATCTGGGATCTGAAGTTATCTGGGAATTGGTTGAACTATCATTCAGATTATTCGTGACTAGCTTGTGCTGGGTTAAGCTATATCTTGACGAGTTTATGCTGGGTCGGACAATCAGTGGAGTTGAGCTGGTTCTGGATTGAACTATATCCTCGCGATTCTCCGAGCTTGGTCGAAAAATCACACACAACATGTTGCAAGTACGTCAAGAAAGCTTCCAAGTAGTACTAGTGCAGATCAATTGGATTACTTCTCTAATAAATGTTTATACGCTCGCGATAAAAGGAAACCATGTGACCTGTGCATATATGCAAGTCCTAATTAAGCATTCCTAAATAGAGTAAACTGAATTTTTTTTTTTTTTTTTTTTTTTTTTTTGGCCGGGGTGTCTAGGCCGTCTTGTGCATACTTCAACTAATCTCTCGGGACTCTGGAACTACCTATCGGCCGGATAAGAGCTTCAGTGGCTACTCCTATTAGCAATCGAGAAGGGATTCGAATTCAAAACCTTTTGATTAATACACCCAAGAGTCCATATCAAACGACTTGACCACCCAGAGGTAGTTGAGTAAATTGTTTTTCATGTGAGAAATGATTGCTTTTATTTTCATGTAATAATAATATGACTATAGACATTAAGTGCCCTGGTTCATTCGGTTCAGGATAATACATGAAAATTGAGCAATTATCTTGCCTTGTCTTTTTTCAGAAAAAACTTGACACTGCATGATCTGCATCTAACTTTACTAAGCAAGTGATATCATCATCTTGGATTGGCTAATAAAATTAAGTGAAATTTCATCACTTTATTGCACATCAATCATAGAATTTTTCGTCATTCTAATTATTCTTTTTCTAATCAAGATAACATTAATTAGTGGTGTGTGAAACATGCAAAAAACTATGAAAAAATAATGCACCTTTCCCTGGAAGTCAATCTTGATTAGCTATCAATATTAAATATAAGTGGGCTCCCGTATAAAATATCTCTTGCTTCACCCAATTTTCCTTCTCTTCGCAAACTGTTTGCATCAAATACTTCAGTGAAAGCAAGTATGCATACATGATAATTGTAATGTTTGGAATGAAGATTGGTCGAGGATCATTGCAAAATTTTCTGCCTATATACTTGCAATGCTCCCGGACCAGGCTTCATTCCCCACATAAGTTATCGAATTATCATACACTCTAGAGACTTTTAATTGCCTTTGCTTTTGCAAACTTCTGACCATTTATCATTCAAAGATACATATTTTATTTTCGTGTTTATTATATAAATACATCAGTTTCCTATAATAAACTATATCTGCATATGCATGCAAAAAGTCCTTGAAGCTTTTGCATATATTCATTTCATACAACAAGTGTAACCTGAGATGGGCGAGGGAGGAAGCTAGGTGCAGCTGCAGGATCATCATCCGGTTTGATTTGTGGGAGTTTTTTCGACTTCATTAAGCACTTTCAAAACTTCTTCTTTCTTTGCAGCAAGTTCCTGCATCTTGGCATCGATCTTTTCGAGCTTAGCCCTCAGTTTCGTTGGATCCTTTTTATCTCCAGGGTTCTTTTTCTTCTTCTCCTTTCCACCATCTTCTTTATCCTCCTTATCTTTACATTCTTTGTCCTTCTTCTTCTTCTTATCTTTAGTTTTCTCATCATCTCCCTCCTCCTTATTCTCCTTACCCTCGTGTTTCTCTTTCTTTTCATGCTTGTCCTTCTCTTCGGCTTTACTGTCATTCTTTTCTGATTTTTCTGTCTCTCCCATATTAACTTTAACCTTGATTCACCAGATTCTTGGTTATTGAGCTTCTTCTGCAAACCAAATATCAAACATATTTCAATCAATAAAGCATTATTAACCGTCATCTTAATCGTGTTAATTAATTAACGATGCTAGTATGCATTTTTGGTCAATATTAATTTTCGTTCCAATCACTATTTTGATGATGTGTGGTCATGTTCATTGTACACATGTTTTTGCCAATCAACGTGCAATATTTTGAAAGTTCACGTTTTGATCAACAATCATAACCCTCCATTGTTGATTGCCCAACCCAAAATACAAAAAGGAAACAGGAAAAGTGCCAAATGAATTACAGACCTGGAAACCCAATCCTCTGAGGCTGTTGAAGGTGGGCTGGAATGTGGTTTCCAAGCCTTGAATGTTTAATTAATGTAAAGCATAATGCAATATTTACCCTTTTTATTCTCTAATCCGCATCCTATTATTTTGGTTTTCCTATGTTTAAGCTTTAATGCACTTAACTAATGGCTAAAGGTTGTGTTTATTTTATGCGAGAATTGTGAATATCCACACGAAATTTGTTCTCAATCCAATGTCTTACTTTGTGTGTTTTTAGCTTGTTATTTTTAATCAAATCCTGCACCAGCTTTTCACGCTTAGCCTCCCACTCAGATAGAGTTCAATGATCCAGAGATAATCTCTCCCTAATTACCTCCACTCATAACCAGTCGGCCAGTGGTGAACCAGGATTTGAAGTTTGAACTTTGAAGTGAGAGGAGGGCGAAATTAAAAATATTTCCAACTAATAAATATTAAAACTTTAATATTTATATACCATTATAATTTTCAATATTTTAATAACCAATCTGGGGTGAAACTCGGCAAAGTTGTAGGGTCTCAAGTTGATTGGTTTAACTTGTTTGATTGGGCAGTCAGACCGTGTGACCAAAAGTTTAAAATTCAGCAAATAAATCTTTGAAAATTACAATTGAGTCTCTACATGTTTAAAATTTAGCAAACATACCATAAATAAAAATCAGTGGTCAACTGGTTGGCGGGGGCAACACACCAAATGCAATCTTAATCATCTCCTGAGCCATTCACCAAAAAATCTACCCAAGATCTGGCCAAAATCGACAACCCAAGCTAAATCTCACCACTGTCGGCATCAACAACTCTTCCCATCATCACGAAAATACTTCCCACAGCCTCTTGACCAAAACTCATCTCACCTCACCCTTGTTCGCCTTACCAATCACCAGAAAAGTCGACTGTTGCTGCCGTGGGTTTTTTCGATTTATGGTAAATTCACTCAATGGAAATCACTTCCGCCATCACCATTGCACTCATCGGCCCTTCCTCTTCAAAAGCCCAAACATCTCGGCTTTCAATTGTTTGTTGATCACCTTTCCAATTTCTAGGGTTTTTGGTGAATATGAAAATTGCTAACTCGACCCAATGAAAGCCCCAAGTCCCGGTTGAATCGGTTAAATAGGTTGGGCCAAGCCGGGTTTTAAAACATTGATAATTTTCCTATATGATTCATAAACTAATAAATAATTTGTTGTAGTATATCAAGACCTTAATTTATTAAGTTTGTATAAAAATGCATTTTATTTATTTATAATCTAAAACTTTGTTTAATTTGTTTCCGGCTTAAATTGTTAATTATGTAATTAAATTTGTATTAGATAGACCTTATTTATAATCTAAACTTCATTCAGTTTGTTTCTGGGTTTAAATTTAATTATTTGATTTAATTTTTTTTAAGTTTAATTATTTGAGGGGGTGGTTGTAATTATTAAAAGTACTGAGGATATAATAATAAATTAGAGATTTTTTTAAAAATTTCATTCTCGATTCTCTATTCGATGTAAAGATAATATTTTTATCCATGATTTATATAAAGATACGATATTGTGGGATAACTCCATAAATGTGTGTAAACTAGTTTGGAGATATTAATTATATATATATAATGGGTTAATAATTTCCTTGTTTTGTTTGATTAAAATCGGATAAAGCAGAAATGGTCTGGTCCCCCAGATGTAGATCGGAGAGTGGAGATGCAATCTGACTTCTGAGCACAATCCAACTTCCAAAATTGTAAATCAAATATTGAAAAAAAAAAAAAAAAGTATCAGGCTACCGTGTTATGTAGCGCCAAATGATTCTCAAAACTGTAGTCTAAGCACTCAGAAGAAATTATTACATTCTCAAGTCAATTTTTTTTGAAAAAATGTCTTAAAAGCTGCCAAGTGCCAGCCATACTTCTTGACTTATAATTGAATTCTTACTTATAAAAAGTAATAATGAATCCTCTCTCTCTCTGTTACTTTATAGTATGGTTGAGCTCGTGTGGATATCATTCAGTTAATCAGTAATTCCCGGGATTTAATGAAGTGGTAGCTTATTATTCACCTCAACACTAGATGTGAATGCATTTTTGTATGTCAGAAAGCAGCTCAGTGTCGATACTTTTTGCGACATTTTTACAGTAATTTCTGGATCATTGAAACCTCTCTCACTCAATTCTTTCTCTCCTTTTTCTTATTTCAAGTTTTCAATACAGTCAATTGAATTCAAATACAAAAATAAAAAAAAATTAATTAAAAAAAAAAAGAAAAGACAATAATGACAACTAGCCACTTTCCCTTTTAATCCCGCCCTTTTTTTTTTTTTTTTTCACTCCTTACAATGTTACTAAGGAACAACTTTTCAACACAAACAGTAAACTTTGTTCCACCCTCTTCCCCACCACTTTCCACTTGATGCCTAAAAATTTACTATTAATTCCTAATCTACTCTTCAACTCTACATCAATCGGTCCGATAAACTGGGCAACCGCCGGAAGAAGTTCAAGCTAGCCGGCGGCATGGGGTCTCTAAACATGGGATGCCTTAAATAGTAAAATCCTAGTGCCACAGCCACCATTTTGGGTGGGACCGCGTACAGTACCAATGTAATGACTAAACAAACCCCAATGAACAATTTAGTGGCCCTTGGATCTCTCCAACTTACCAAAGCTTGAACCCTCTCTCCTTGGGTCGCAAAATCACCCAAAACTGTTTGGACCCTTGCAGCCAACATCCGTAACCGATCATACCTCATCCTAACTATGTCCGGTGGTTTTGAACTGGGTATTGAATCGAATTCTTCATCTAGCTCATCCGGGTCAACCGCTTCTGCCTGTGATAATCTTGTATCCATGCCCGAAGGTGTCTTGGGCCTGAACCTATAATACCACACTCCAATTAACACAACGTATAGAAACCCAGTTGGTACTACCAAATCTGGGTACCAAACAAGAACCAAATACAACACATGCACTAAAACTGTAGTCACCGGATTCTTCCACCTTCTAATATCATACAACCATTTAGCCAACCCGATAGCCCACGCAAGAACCGCAACGATCCGAAACCAATTTGCTTTACTCTTTCTCATGCTCCATGCATGAGAATCCGCATCCAACATGTACCTCACAACCTCTGGGCCCAATGGGGGTTCAGACCGGCCCAGCCATGCGGCCACCATTTTGGTTGCAGCCCCACGCAACGCTTCCTGCTGGGCCACGCCTAGTGGCCGTAAGTAATGCATTCTAGGAAGCAGTGGCTGCCCATAAACTGAGCAAGTATCCGGTAACATTGACGGGCAGGCAAACCGAACGGCCAATTCAATCTCGCCCATTTTCTTCAACCCGGAACGCGTCAGTACCAACAAAGGATACGAAGTTGTATACACTTTGTTGTTCTCCAGAGTAGATACGCGAATACGTATTTTCCCAATACGCCAATCGGGTTTGTCTTCTGATACATCAGCAAACATCCGCCAGTTGTCGAACACTGCAATAGTAAGAACAGTACACGGATCGTACACTTGCCACGTGTACTGCTCATTCCAGCGTGGATCAAAGCTGTCAGTGATGGTTCTGGTGCGCACCCACTTTTTACCGTACTTGGCCACACAATAAGCATCAGTAGAGCCTTTACCTCCATTTTTGGTTTTCATTGGCAACAAGCCGCGTGCGCCTAGAATCCCCAGCTCCAAAATTCCAATAACTGGCTTCCAAAGCTGCTTAGCCGTGGGTCTAAAATCACTACACACGTGCGCCGCTTCATCAAGCACGTGATATCCACCCTCCAAACATAATCGTAGCTGAATTCTCCCGCAGTAGGGCCCACAGCTACAGCCACCTTCGCTTCTTCCCTCCAAGGCAATCCATTTGCTCGCCACGTGTCGCTCGTCGATTCGTTGTTCGATCGAGCTCACTGGAATCATGATGTGTCCCAGGAGCATTGCTTCATTGCTTGTACGGTCCTGGACCAACAAAATCAAGGAGTCTTCGAACGGCTCTCCGGCGACGAAGAATAAGTCCTCATTCCAGTGAAACGACGAGCTGTGATTGTTCATAGACGCACGCTTCGTCCGTACAGACTGACACCCCAACTGCGCTTTCACTCTAATCTGCGGTGCCGTCAACGGAGGTAAATTATGAGCAATGTGAAGGTCCTGAGCTTCAATCACGGTAACTCTCAAATACCAGAGTTTAGGCGATTGATAAACCTTAGAGCGCGTGTGTGCCACGTAGGGCGCATCCGAGCTCCTCGCTTCGGGAAACGCGTCATCAGCTTGAGTCCCAATCCATACGGCCAGCTGAAGGTCACCGGATATTCTATTCCCTTGTTCTGGAGGTCCGCTCTCGAGGCGATACCACTGTGGGGCCAGCGGACTATCTGGTGGGTCCCGCACCGGAACATCGGAAAGATCGAAACAAAGACCGCCGAGGAAATTTTCCGAATGAGAGTCCCACACGGAGATTTCCAGAAGCGCGTTGGCGGAGTCATTCTTATTATAACCCAGTGCGAATACCTGGTTCCACTCGGGGGAGTCGGTTGGCTCACCGGGCCGATGAAATGCCGGTTCGGATTTCCGGAAATGATTGGACGTTCTGATTTTCACATATGGACTCTCGTTTGGAGCTAAGCCACGCGCCTTTACGATTTTCACAAATAGATACATCATCGGCTCAACCAGATTGTATGGATGGACCATCTCTGCTGTTGCAGTTTCTCCGGAAGCTTTACCAGTAGTGATCACCCTCGGTGAAAATTCTCCATATCGTCTTTTCAAAACTTTAACTCTTTCAACACCTGCGCTCTGCATCTTCATCACCTCCACCGTCGGAATCGGCTCATCTGGCGGCGCATAATGAGGTGGATCCGGTGGTACTTGCACCACGTGCGGTGGAGATTCCTCGATTATGGTAACCGGAGGCGGTTGACAATGGTAGTGCTCTGGAACAGGATGACAAGTCTGCCCGTGTCCAGGAACCTCGAAAGCTCGACCTTCCTCAACGACAACAACCGCGGGTGTGTTCTGCGACGGTTCTTCTGGAGGAGGTTGATTTGGCGGCGGTTGACCCTCTGGCGGTGGCTGCTCCTCTTCAACCAACTCATCGTAGTAACAAATTCTCAAGCCGATCTCTCCTCTAATCCAGCTGAAAACACTTTTCTTCTCCAAAGGAAGATACATCAACCCTTCGTCTCCACGCTTTGAGAATTGGCTACCGTACAACTTAACCCTTCCCAAGAAGTGGTTCTTACGGCCACTGCCATTGCAGTACTTTTTATCGTTGTATACCTCGATATCCAGCTCTTCATAGTCCATGTTTTTGGGGTCCGACACAATGAACTCCAATGGCTCGTTCCATACTGGATTGAGCTCCCGAAACTTTGTGGAGGTTCGCTTTCTTTGGCCGTCAAAGTCAGCGATGACGTAGGGACTGGAACTTCCCTGGCCGTCCTTTGGAAGCAAGTCACGTGCATCGACTACTTCCACCACAAGTTTACGGACGGTATTTTGTGGCGGTGGTTGAGACGGCGGGGTTGTCATACTCTCATGTTTGTTATTATTTATTTTTGTTGAAAGAAATACTGGATTGTTTTGTTTTTTTGGATGGACAGAGAAAGCGTTGATAGCGGAAGGGAAATTAAGAGAGTGAGATGAGGTGGTTTTTAAGGTGGCCTTTTGAAATTGTGATTTATTATTATTATTATTATTATGAAAGAAAATGGAAAAGAATAAATATTCCATGCTCTCTCGTCAAGGTTTTAGTTTCCAACTTGACAGGTTCCTTTACCCACCTCATCTTATTTATTTTTAATGGATTTGTATGAATATAGGTAGCTTGAAGAAAACGGTGACGCTTCATAGAATGTAGGTAAGGTAACTGCAAGGCAGATGATGATTCCTCCTCCCAAACTTGGGCCTCTCCTTTATGTCAAAAGCACACACATTTTGAATAAAGTTTAGCCACAAAAGCATCCACCTTTATTTTATTGTTTCGGACTCTTATTATTCTTCTTCTATCTGTTTCTCTTGTCAACAAACCTAAAAGACCAATATCCTTTACCTTTTTCTACTCAACTCACAGTCACACCACCTTACATTTATTATTTAATTTCCCTTTTTCATTCTTGTAAAACAAATCTCCAGTAACGTATTCTGAACATTGTGGATTGGTAACAACTTTTGGCACTCATAACGAAGAAGCTTCTCCCTTCGGGGGTTGGCTTTTGAATTGGTGGAGGTGAATCTGATCCCAAAGGATAAAGTAAATTTTGGTCAGATGCTGTTTTGTTTTTGGCATAATATTTTTCCAACAGATTTCAATGCTATATTGCAAAAGCTTCATATACACCCTAGAATATATTTGATTAGATGCCCATTCCTTTTATTTATCTATTTAGCATCCAATCAAATTTTGTACATCTCATCCCCCTTTCTAAAGGGGCCTTGCAGCCATCACAATTCACAATCTTTGTTGTGTATAATACAATCAGTCTAGAGTTTGATTCAATTTGATATTTACTCAAACACACCAATCTCTCCCTGATGATTCTGTAGTCTATTTTATACGACATGCTCATGACTACAAATTAAAAATTAATTCTGTAATATTTGTCGTAACACCCATTTTAATTTAATTTAATTTTTTATCATAAGATGTTGGGATGTAAGTTGTAACAAACATTTTGGCATATTACCTTCAACAGACATAGAAATTGGTAGCCTAGTGGTCAAAGAATAAAAGGAGTTTTCCTAAGCTCCTGAGTTTGAGTCCGTCCAGACCCTAATAGAGGTGGTCACTGGAGGGTTACTCGATCGGACTTCTAAGACCTTAGAAGATTAGTTAAGGTGCGCGCAAACTGATCCGGACCTCCTGATGATTAAAAAAAAAAAAAAAAATTTGCCTTCCATGTCTCATTCATTCACTCCATCACTATCAAACTTACTTTTGAAATTCATCTTATTCTGATTCACCCTGATAATTGTGTGGTCCAGCTGCAATTTTCCTTTTTTTGATTTTATCATCAACATTAATTTTTAATTTTCTCCTTAGTTTCAAAGAAATAATAGATTCAAGAAACAGTCCAACAACAACGAGGGAATTGTTAATTTTGCGTTATGAATTAAAACACAGTGAATGAATCAGCATCATAAAGACGGAATGGATAATTTATTATTTGCAATTTCACACAAGGAATTTGTCTAATATTATTCTATATACAACGGTAGATGGTCAACATAATTTTGTAATCGTTTAGCATTACTGGTGGACAATCGTGCAAACTAATTAATCAAATGGCGCAGCCTCGAGTACCGCAGCAGCAGGTCCGAACTTGCGAGAAACGTAAACCCCCAGTGAGAACGCTATCACGGCCGTAACAACAATTCCCTTGTTTTTCCTTAGTATCTTCATAGCCCAATCCAACTGACTCGGCTGTTTTGCCCACTTCTCTACGTCCTCTTTATGGAAACTATCAACCCGGGAGGAACACATTTGTTTCTTGTCAGACTGGCGCTCATGTTCTTCTTTGCCATGCACTTCTGCATGACCGCGGTTTACATTTTCATCATTGTGATGATGATGATGACTGCTTTCCTCTTTGATTTCTTCCGTAATATTGCTGCTGCTGCTCATGTTTTCGGTTTCTCTCTCGGGAACTTCCTGCTGCTTCTCTGCTTCGACTAGTTTTGGCACAGTTACATAGAGAATCTCACCGTCAAATTTTCCGGTGATCTGATCGATATCTGAATTTGGTGGCAGTTTAAAGGTCTGCTCGAAGCGTATTATTCTACTTTTATCATTCGTCAGTCTTTCTCCGCTAACCATTATACTGCCAGAAGGGTCAGCATGGAGCTTCACCTGTTCCTTTTGGAAGTCTAAAACATAATACAATTCACAATAGTTAATACCATGTTCCTCGTATATCCATTTGAGCAGTAAATCTTCATATAAATATTTCCACAAGGAAAAAAAAAAAAAATGAAATTGCTCTTCATTTAGTATTCAATTAATATCGACATAGAAAATCATATTACATATTTCCATGCACCTCTTCAGCTATTGTAGACTATATATATATATTATATATTGCATTACGTTATATTTAAGGAGATTTTAATAATTTTAGAAAGCTGTGTATCCTATATATTCATCACCAATTTAACACATTGTATGGATGGACCATCTCTGCTGTTGCAGTTTCTCCGGAAGCTTTACCAGTAGTGATCACCCTCGGTGAAAATTCTCCATATCGTCTTTTCAAAACTTTAACTCTTTCAACACCTGCGCTCTGCATCTTCATCACCTCCACCGTCGGAATCGGCTCATCTGGCGGCGCATAATGAGGTGGATCCGGTGGTACTTGCACCACGTGCGGTGGAGATTCCTCGATTATGGTAACCGGAGGCGGTTGACAATGGTAGTGCTCTGGAACAGGATGACAAGTCTGCCCGTGTCCAGGAACCTCGAAAGCTCGACCTTCCTCAACGACAACAACCGCGGGTGTGTTCTGCGACGGTTCTTCTGGAGGAGGTTGATTTGGCGGCGGTTGACCCTCTGGCGGTGGCTGCTCCTCTTCAACCAACTCATCGTAGTAACAAATTCTCAAGCCGATCTCTCCTCTAATCCAGCTGAAAACACTTTTCTTCTCCAAAGGAAGATACATCAACCCTTCGTCTCCACGCTTTGAGAATTGGCTACCGTACAACTTAACCCTTCCCAAGAAGTGGTTCTTACGGCCACTGCCATTGCAGTACTTTTTATCGTTGTATACCTCGATATCCAGCTCTTCATAGTCCATGTTTTTGGGGTCCGACACAATGAACTCCAATGGCTCGTTCCATACTGGATTGAGCTCCCGAAACTTTGTGGAGGTTCGCTTTCTTTGGCCGTCAAAGTCAGCGATGACGTAGGGACTGGAACTTCCCTGGCCGTCCTTTGGAAGCAAGTCACGTGCATCGACTACTTCCACCACAAGTTTACGGACGGTATTTTGTGGCGGTGGTTGAGACGGCGGGGTTGTCATACTCTCATGTTTGTTATTATTTATTTTTGTTGAAAGAAATACTGGATTGTTTTGTTTTTTTGGATGGACAGAGAAAGCGTTGATAGCGGAAGGGAAATTAAGAGAGTGAGATGAGGTGGTTTTTAAGGTGGCCTTTTGAAATTGTGATTTATTATTATTATTATTATTATGAAAGAAAATGGAAAAGAATAAATATTCCATGCTCTCTCGTCAAGGTTTTAGTTTCCAACTTGACAGGTTCCTTTACCCACCTCATCTTATTTATTTTTAATGGATTTGTATGAATATAGGTAGCTTGAAGAAAACGGTGACGCTTCATAGAATGTAGGTAAGGTAACTGCAAGGCAGATGATGATTCCTCCTCCCAAACTTGGGCCTCTCCTTTATGTCAAAAGCACACACATTTTGAATAAAGTTTAGCCACAAAAGCATCCACCTTTATTTTATTGTTTCGGACTCTTATTATTCTTCTTCTATCTGTTTCTCTTGTCAACAAACCTAAAAGACCAATATCCTTTACCTTTTTCTACTCAACTCACAGTCACACCACCTTACATTTATTATTTAATTTCCCTTTTTCATTCTTGTAAAACAAATCTCCAGTAACGTATTCTGAACATTGTGGATTGGTAACAACTTTTGGCACTCATAACGAAGAAGCTTCTCCCTTCGGGGGTTGGCTTTTGAATTGGTGGAGGTGAATCTGATCCCAAAGGATAAAGTAAATTTTGGTCAGATGCTGTTTTGTTTTTGGCATAATATTTTTCCAACAGATTTCAATGCTATATTGCAAAAGCTTCATATACACCCTAGAATATATTTGATTAGATGCCCATTCCTTTTATTTATCTATTTAGCATCCAATCAAATTTTGTACATCTCATCCCCCTTTCTAAAGGGGCCTTGCAGCCATCACAATTCACAATCTTTGTTGTGTATAATACAATCAGTCTAGAGTTTGATTCAATTTGATATTTACTCAAACACACCAATCTCTCCCTGATGATTCTGTAGTCTATTTTATACGACATGCTCATGACTACAAATTAAAAATTAATTCTGTAATATTTGTCGTAACACCCATTTTAATTTAATTTAATTTTTTATCATAAGATGTTGGGATGTAAGTTGTAACAAACATTTTGGCATATTACCTTCAACAGACATAGAAATTGGTAGCCTAGTGGTCAAAGAATAAAAGGAGTTTTCCTAAGCTCCTGAGTTTGAGTCCGTCCAGACCCTAATAGAGGTGGTCACTGGAGGGTTACTCGATCGGACTTCTAAGACCTTAGAAGATTAGTTAAGGTGCGCGCAAACTGATCCGGACCTCCTGATGATTAAAAAAAAAAAAAAAAATTTGCCTTCCATGTCTCATTCATTCACTCCATCACTATCAAACTTACTTTTGAAATTCATCTTATTCTGATTCACCCTGATAATTGTGTGGTCCAGCTGCAATTTTCCTTTTTTTGATTTTATCATCAACATTAATTTTTAATTTTCTCCTTAGTTTCAAAGAAATAATAGATTCAAGAAACAGTCCAACAACAACGAGGGAATTGTTAATTTTGCGTTATGAATTAAAACACAGTGAATGAATCAGCATCATAAAGACGGAATGGATAATTTATTATTTGCAATTTCACACAAGGAATTTGTCTAATATTATTCTATATACAACGGTAGATGGTCAACATAATTTTGTAATCGTTTAGCATTACTGGTGGACAATCGTGCAAACTAATTAATCAAATGGCGCAGCCTCGAGTACCGCAGCAGCAGGTCCGAACTTGCGAGAAACGTAAACCCCCAGTGAGAACGCTATCACGGCCGTAACAACAATTCCCTTGTTTTTCCTTAGTATCTTCATAGCCCAATCCAACTGACTCGGCTGTTTTGCCCACTTCTCTACGTCCTCTTTATGGAAACTATCAACCCGGGAGGAACACATTTGTTTCTTGTCAGACTGGCGCTCATGTTCTTCTTTGCCATGCACTTCTGCATGACCGCGGTTTACATTTTCATCATTGTGATGATGATGATGACTGCTTTCCTCTTTGATTTCTTCCGTAATATTGCTGCTGCTGCTCATGTTTTCGGTTTCTCTCTCGGGAACTTCCTGCTGCTTCTCTGCTTCGACTAGTTTTGGCACAGTTACATAGAGAATCTCACCGTCAAATTTTCCGGTGATCTGATCGATATCTGAATTTGGTGGCAGTTTAAAGGTCTGCTCGAAGCGTATTATTCTACTTTTATCATTCGTCAGTCTTTCTCCGCTAACCATTATACTGCCAGAAGGGTCAGCATGGAGCTTCACCTGTTCCTTTTGGAAGTCTAAAACATAATACAATTCACAATAGTTAATACCATGTTCCTCGTATATCCATTTGAGCAGTAAATCTTCATATAAATATTTCCACAAGGAAAAAAAAAAAAAATGAAATTGCTCTTCATTTAGTATTCAATTAATATCGACATAGAAAATCATATTACATATTTCCATGCACCTCTTCAGCTATTGTAGACTATATATATATATTATATATTGCATTACGTTATATTTAAGGAGATTTTAATAATTTTAGAAAGCTGTGTATCCTATATATTCATCACCAAATATAACTTTTTTCCGTACCAGGAAGATCCATCAGGAGATAATGGCCATTGGCGTCCTCATTCCAATCTGAAGAAGGTACAAAATCTTGAATTATTGGCTTATGCGGATGAATTCTTTCTCCAGGCCACCTTCTTCCTCCAACGTATGCCATGGTGATGAACTAAATTAATCAGTTTAGTAGCTGAACTTCCCAAATTAATGATGTTTTTGTGATTGTTGATATGGGGTGAGCTTATAATTGTATTTATAGAAATGGAAACCGATGGATCAATGTGGCAATCGTTTTTGTGTGTGATCAAAACCTGATGAAGTTCACACAGCTTTTCAGGAGGCATATAATTATTCTAAACGTGATGTGTCGGGTGGGTTGTTTGAGTTAGTTTGTAGAAGTTAACAATTTGAATAGGAGAGGAAAGAAACTATATATTCTTTGCTTGTCTTGTGTAACAAAATATTTCGGTGGAGGAGTACGTAGAGAGGGATGCCAGCCGCCGTGAAAATAATGCACGTATCAACATTAATTAACCTAGAATATTGCTTCAAGCACAAGAACATTATATGATTCACCGTGGCCAAGAAAGCTGACCCTTACGATTCCCATCTCACATGCAATTAGTATAATCTTATAAATATAAAATCTAACCGTCACTCTGCCCAGATGAGAAGCTCTGAAATGAAATCAAATTCTTTTCCCAATTTAAACGATATTAGATCTGCAAACATCTTGTAGTTAAGCTGATTGATCTCAAATAAAAGAAAAGCCTAAACTGTTGACGGTTTTAGTGAACGAGGCTCCCCTCCCTTCCCTCCCGACTTCTTATCTAATTTCTTTTCTTAGTTTAGATCATTAATTATAACTGATACATATACATTTTCCACCCTATCTGGAAGCAACAAAACACAAAACATTTCAAAAATAATAAGAACATTAAGCAATATTTTTATTCTTGTTGGTTATTTGAGCATGTAAGGATGGTTATACGAGAGAGAAAAGAGGGAGGAAAAAAGATAAGAGAGAAGAAGGACTTGTATATTGCATATCATTCAACAAAAATACAGCAGAGTTTTACACATTGCAAACTTACTGTTGTACCTAACATAAAACATATTTTAATCCAAAATAACATCTTAACCATACATCCTTAGTAACTCTAATTACATCACATTAAGTTGATATAAAGTTGGTAGCCAAATGCAAGCTGAATTCGCCAAAAACTACTACTTCAGCATGCCTATAGACCAGCTAAAAGCTCCACAATTCAGCAGGAAAACATACCTTGATGTGCTTCGCATGTCATCACAAGAACCTCCCCAATCAATGTCTACATAGCCTACCAATATGAAATTTTCAAACTTCTTGAACCAGATTCCATGATCTGCTATTCCTCTGATGAACCTCAACACTCTTTTGGTTGCTTTAAGATGCTCCTCACTTGGTTTGCTCATAAATATTGATAGGAGACTAGTGGGAAACATTAGATCAGGTCTTGTTGCTGTCAAATATAACAAGCTCCCAATCAACCTTCTATAATTTGTTTCATCCACCAGGACTGCTCCATCCTCTTTGCACAACCTTTGATTTTGCACTAAAGGTGTGCCAACTGACTTATATTCATCCATCCCAAACTTTTTCAGCATCTCATTAGCATATCTCCTTTGACATATAAAAATGCCATCTTGAGATTGATAGATTTTCATTCCAAGAAAATAGGTCATCTCTCCCAAGTCAGTCATCTCAAACTTTTTGTGCATTGCTTTCTTAAACTCTTCAACTTGAGTAGCATTGTTTCCTATCACCAGCCAATCATCTACATACAAGGAAACCATGATCACATCTTCATTGACTTTCTTCACATAAAAAGTATGCTCATTTGGACTCCTTGCATAACCTAGGCTGACCAGGTAGTCATTGATTCTGCTGTACCAAGCTCTTGGAGCTTGTTTTAGGCCATATAAGGCCTTCCTCAGCAAATAGACCTTGTCTTCTTTCCCTTTGACTTCATGTCCCTTAGGTTGTTCAATAAAGATCTCTTCATCTAGCCAACCATTCAAGAAGGCTAACTTGACATCCATTTGATAAACTTTCCACTTGAATTGAGTTGCCAAAGCAGACTAACCTGATTGCATCATGCCTAGCAATAGGTGCAAATGTGTCTTGAAAGTCTACTCCATGTTGTTGTGCAAAGCCTTTCACAACTAGCCTAGCGTTGTGCTTCAGAACTGAACCATCATGGTTCAATTTTTTCTTGAAGATCCACTTTACCTGGATCACTTTTCTTTTAGCAGGTCTATCTACAAGCTTCCATGTTCCATTCTTTTCTATCATGGACAACCCCTCCTACATAGCAATCATCCATTCCTCTAACTTGGCTGCTTCAAAATAGGATGCTGGTTCAAGCATTGCAACATTGTATCTCCCATAGATCTCAACAAGAGGTCTAGTTCCCTTAACTGATACTTCTTCTTCTGTATCAAAATCTGCCCCATCAACTTGGTCAGCAACTTTCTCTCTTTGCTATGGCCGTGCATCATCCTGAATTTTCTTCTCCTCCCAGTTCCACACTAACCTCAACCTTTACATCCCTTGAAATCACAACCTTCTTAGACTCCGGAATATAGACTTCGTATGCCTTGGATTGGAGGCTGTAACCAACCAAAATTTTAGCTTTTGCTTTGTCATCAAGCTTTGATCTTTTGATGGCTAGTATGAGGACATAGCATATACTCCCAAAGATTCTAAGATAGTCTACTTGAGGCTTGACTCCATACCATGCTTCAAATGGAGTTGATCTTTTAAAGCCTTGGTTGGAAGCATATTCAACAAATACACACTAGAGTTCACAAATTCTACCCATAACTCATTTGGAAGATTTTTTTTCAGTTAGCATGCATCTTGACATCTCCATCACTGTTCTATTCTTCCTTTCACTCATTCTATTTTGTTGAGGAATATAAGGACAGCTATACTGATGCCACATTCCTACATCCCTGCATATAGATTCAAATTCCTATGAAGTATATTCACCCCCATTGTCACTTCTCACAGCCTTTATCCTTACACCAGCTTGGTTTTCAACTTGAACTTTAAATCTCCTAAACACAGCAGCAACTTCTCCTTTTTGTTTTAAAAAATACAACTAAGTCATTCTTGAATAATCATCAATAAACAAGGTAAAGTATTTAGATCCACTTAGGGATGGGGTCTGCATTGGTCCACACACATCAATGTGTACCAATTGGAGCTTTTCAGTAGCTCTCTAGGCCTGGTTTGTTAGATTGCTAAGCTTTCCTCTTTGGCATACTCTACACAAACTCTTTTTCTCTTCCATTTCGGGTGAGGTATGCACCATATTTTTAAGCTTTATTTGCCTAAGGCCAACATAGTGATAATGACCATACCTTTTATGCCATAGGTCTGTGTCATCTGAATTCACTGTCATAGCTTGAAATTATGATTTTTTGAGTTCAACTGGGAAGCTCTTTCCCACCATTTTAACATACATCATCACAATTCCCTCATTATCTAATATTGTGCAGGATTTGTTTTCAAAGTGTATGATGTAATTTCTTTCAAGCATCTGTCCTACACTAAGCAGATTTTGATTGATTTCAGGAACAAACAACACATTAGAAATTATTTTTGTACTTGTCAAGGTCTGCACAGCCACATCTCCTCTGCCTTTAACCCTGACAAAGACACAATTTCTCACCTTTACACTTGATTGTTATGCTTGGTCCAGCTTCACAAAGTTCTCCAGATCATATGTCATATGATTTGTACATTCACTATCAATCAGCCAAGCTCCAGCATTGAATTGAACTGCATAGTAGGATGCCACAAATAGATGCTCTGATTCTGTAGTTTGCTGTAGATCCTCAGCCATCTGTGCTTGCTGCGCTGGCTGGTGTGGTTTGTTTTGGCATACCTTTTTAATGTGGCTGAATTGTTTACATGCCCTACATTGAACATTTGGTCTGAACCAACACTTACTCTCTGCATAGTTCTTCTTTTTGCAGTGAGAACTGAAAGACAGATGCATGGAGAATCAAGCATATCATACTATAACAAGTATAGTCATAGTTTAAAAAATAAATTTCAATCAAATTGAAATAAGTAAGGTAGAATATGTTACCTTAAGCCCTTAGCAACCTTGGAACCTCTTAATTTCAAGAGAAATTAAGCAAAAGAGTATCCACACCAAGGGAAGAAGAAATTTGACCAAGAGGGAGATTTAGGGTTCTTAGAGATTTTTTTTTCCTCTACACAAAAATTGATATATCATTTTCTTTATATAGGAATCCTTGTAAACAATTCAATAATTGTTTTGGACTTCCTTAAACAATTCCATAATTGTTATGAAGTTGTTAAACTTCTTTAAATGATAACATTGGATTAACATTTAATCACAATTAACAATTTAACTCTTAAATTGTTTACATAACAATTTAACCCTTAAATTGTTTACAATTACAACCCCTTGTAAAATCCAATTTAATATAAAGAAAATGATTAATATAAATAACTTTATTACCTTTGGTAGGTGCTAGCCAACCTTGGATAATCAACTCTCTTTGGCTATTTCTTCATTCTCCTTAGTTTTTATGTGTGACCTCTTAGGTTCACTGTGGCCTAGCCGTGGGCCCAATATCACAGACTATTTCGATATGTTTTGTCATAACTCTTTATGAACAAAACTCCCACTGATTATGGTAGGCATCTAGCAATGCTCCATAACCCCTAAGTCACAATGAAGATATACTCCAACGAACCTTTTACAATCATACATGTTGTATAATCAAATCCTTCCGTTGTCTAATCCTAATTAAGAATGGATTCATGGTATGTCAAAATCCTTATCTTAATTTTAATTCAATACATATGGAACGTGTCACCATGAAACAACCTTTCATGTAACATTTTATATACCCCGGCCGGAGATTTCCCTTTTCCAATGTATCTTGACATTTGTCTTGGAACTTGATATCAATCTATACCAAGTCAACGGATCCCATCTTGACTATCACTTGTCCTCACACATAAACAACACATGGCCAAATCGGCTTATTAACACATGGCATGATTAGCCTCATGTTTATACACCATATGAACCATATGCGTTTATGCAGAATCCAACCGTGATATCTCAGGTCTAAGGATTAAAAATACCCTAGTACGATCTTATGATAAATCATTGACTACATTTTAAATGTCCATGTGATTCATCATAAATGGCCATATTCGATAAACAGTTCACTAACCGCGTATCCATGCTAATGCCCTAGTGATATAACTTTTATAATCACCCACACCAATACCATCACATGATATTCTACGGAGGCATTCAGCATGCCTACTATGTAATATTATTGCCCAATTAATATTACCTATGTAGGGAATACTTTGATGATTTTGATCTTCTAAAGATTTGTATCATCCGGACATTTCACATGTAATACATATATATAAATGAAGCAATAAACCACATGTGAAATAAGAACACTTTCTTCTATTGATAAGATAAAATGTATATACAAACTATATACATTAACATATATATACAAAACATAATGCCTCGGAACCGATGACACGATTGGTTCCTACGGCATACACTAACAAGAACATGGTGCAAAACTCCTGAAACCAGCTGGTTTGTTCCACTGACTGCTTGCTGTTTCCTTTCCTCTCTTATCTCCAATAAACATCTTGTTTCCTCCTTAAGTTGGCTTGCTCTTTTGCTGGACAACCAATACAGCTTCACCACTGTCCTCATGCCTCAGCTTTCTTCTTTGCTCTTGAGCTTGAAGTGCATGAACAAGTTTAGTTAAGGTAATTTGAGACAAGTCTTTGGAATCCTCCAAAGAGGAGATTTTTGATTCAAACCTCTGGGGTAAGCTTACCAATACCTTCTCTACAATTCTTTTATCAGTTATCTCTTCCCCTAGCAACCTTATCTTGTTAACCACATTCATTAATCTATCTACATACTCCTTAACCACTTCAACCTCTTGCAGTTTCAATGTCTCAAACTCTCTCCTTAGGTTCAAGACTTGCATGTTTCTGGTTTGGCTACTTCCTCCAAACTCTTCCTTAAGTTTGTCNATGATATTCTACGGAGGCATTCAGTATGCCTACTATGTAATATTATTGCCCAATTAATATTACCTATGTAGGGAATACTTTGATGATTTTGATCTTCTAAAGATTTGTATCATCCGGACATTTCACATGTAATATATATATATAAATGAAGCAATAAACCACATGTGAAATAAAAACATTTTCTTCTATTGATAAGATAAAATGTATATACAAACTATATACATTCACATATATATATATATATACAAAACATAATGCCTCGGAACCGATGACACGATTGGTTCCTAGGGCATACACTAACAAAACTCCCACTTGCACTAGAGCCAATCGTTGTGGTATCTAATACCCATCTTCTCAAGATGATAATCTAATTGCTTCTGTGTCATCGCTTTAGTAAGTGGATCAGCTACGTTATCCGCTGAAGGTGTTTTTTGCACCAAAATTTCTCCAACTTCAACAAGCTCTCTCAAAATATGATATTTACGCTGAATATGTTTTGATTTTTGGTGTGCTCTTGGTTTTTTTGCTTATGCAATAGCACCATTATTATCGCAAAACAAAGTTATCGGATAACTCATGTTCGGAACCACATCAAGTTCAGGTACAAATTTGCGTATCCACACACCTTCTTTTGCTGCTTCTGAAGCGGCAATATATTCAGCTTCTGTAGTGGAGTCTGCAGTGGTTTATTGTTTGGAACTTTTCCAACTAACTGCTCCTCCATTACATGTAAAGATGAATCCGGATGTAGACTTTCTATCATCCACATCTGATTGAAAATCAGAATCTGAGTATCCCTGGATTTTCAATTCTGAACCTCCATAACTCAGTATTAAATCTTTAGTCCTTCTCAAGTACTTAAAGATTGTTTTAACTACTGACCAATATTTCTCTCCTGGATTTGATTGATATATGCTCACACTACTTACAGCATAAGCTATATCAGGCCTTGTACATAGCATTGCGTACATAAGACTACCCACGGCTGAATCTTATTGTATATTACGCATCTGCTTTCTCTCTTGATCAGTCTTAGGACTCATATCCTTAGAAAGATGTAGTCCATGACCGCAAGGCAAAAAACCTCTTTTGGAGTCTTGCATGTTGAACTTTTTCAACATTTTCTCTATATACATGCTCTGAGATAACCCTATCAATCCTNATTATATAATGCAAAGAAATGCCTTTGAAATTGAAAAGTTAGAATTCCATTTATATAAGGAATCACACTTTTTCATTAAATAATTAAATAAATAATAGGAAGGTGCATGTTTATATAAACTTTGCTTGAGCTGAGGTTATTTTCAGCTACCTGGCTTTTCCTAATAAAATGAATGAAAAGTTGCTGGTGAAATTTCCAATATTTCTTCTTATTTGTCCTGCTATCACTCACCAGATTATGATCCAAATGTTGTGGCTAATGTGTGCTGTATAAAAATTTTCCGGAGTACAAGGGGCACCAAACAGGTAACTCAATCAATCAGTTTGGATAGCTACTAGTAAGCCAGAATCAATTCTCTTCCAGGAAAAAGAATAAATATACTGTGGGGAACTTTGTTTTTTGTTGCAGTGTCTGAACATTAACTGCCATGCAGCAATGGAATCAACCAACTAGTAACTTCTTTTGTGAAATGGGCGTAGCTTCTTGAAGAAACCATCCAAAGAAAAGAAAGAATTTATCTTCAAAAAAAGCAGCTAAACATAAAGAATACTAACCTTTTCAGCTGAGTCCCCAATTTCTCAATTTTTGACCGGAAAGGCACCTCAAGTTTAAGCAACTTGGTGAACTGCAGGATGGATCAAAACACATGAATCGACATTTGGAAAATGTTCACAAAAGTGTTCATACATGATGCAAAGAGATAGACTCTTAAACACAATTTAAGATTCTTCATACAAACACAACCCCAGGCACATGATTTAAGATTAAGAAGAACCGAATGAAGCATGGATGCAGCAAATACAACATTCACTCATACACACACCTGAGATGTCTTCAGTTCAAGTTCATCCCACTCTAAAGATGGATTGCTTCCTTCTACTATTCCTGTTCCAGCATATATCAATGTGCCAAGACCCTATTTTGTGAAGTAATCAGTACTTGATACTTTGGCAAAGGGATGAACAGAATGATATTAAACACATCAAATTAATATATATAGCTTCCACTTTTCGTTTCAGTTTTCTGGAAAATAGTAAAACTGGAGGAACCACTTAAGTTCTTAACTAGTTCAGATGACAATGTAATTCTTACCCAAAACAGAGGAAATAGTTGACAAGAGTATCATCTCACCTTTTCCACTAATGCTGACCTGATGCCAACAGCAAACTCACTCTCTCCTCCTCCAAACCAACCAACAGGCCCAGCATACATTCCTCGGTCAAATACCTCTGAACAACATATTGAAAATATTTAAGATTCATTGTTGACACAGGTAACAGACTTGCAATCAAAATCAATTTAGTGATTGTTAGTGAAAGTATTGCACTACCAAGGGAAAATGAAGAAGAGATCACGGAATTATAGTTCTGATCAATGTAAAAACAACAATGATAAGAACTATAAGTGGTTAATAATCTGACTGCATTAAGATAGGGAAATAGATGCTGATACAGTAAGATTTCTTATGCAATACTTGAATACAATCTTCAAAATACAGTATTTCAGTTATTGCATAAGGTCTACTGCTCTTAAGAAAATAATATGACTACATCCACATACTAGAAATGGTTAAAAGAAAAAAAAAATCATGTACCACTTTTTGCAATTAGAAGTCGTGCCTCTTCAGTTGGAAATCCACAGACTGCTGGACTTGGGTGAAGAGAAGCCAAGATGTCAAACTGAAAGAGAGAGAAAATGAAATGTCAAAAATTTTCAGAAATAACTAACTCAGTATTGAACAAGGGTTTGGAGAACAGGGGAGTAAACAGCAGGCAGGTGTTGTATTCTGATCAGAACTTGAATTTGAAATGTATCATTCTTACTTCATCATCTTCGCTTCTTAGTGTTCCTGCCAATTGGGCATACAAATGTTGAACTCTAGGCAGTTTTCGTATTGTTTTCATGGGTTCAACCACTACCCTGTCACATACAGCCTGCAAACAAGAACAGAGTTAAGCATATATATATCCTTATCTATCTCATCCTTTTTTTCTGTGTTTGTGATAAACCAGCAGTGCATAAAGTTTACACCCTTAAGAGGCGTAATAGACATTAGGAAGGTTGTTAAGGGAGTGGGTCCACAAAGCACAGGTGTCATGGGTAAGAGTTTGTTTTGAGAATATGAATTGTGTGAGTAAGGGTAATTGTGGAAAGGGGATTAGTATATAAGCAGGGAGAGTCGTAGCAGCAGGATTATCTTTTTGCATTGATAAAACAGTGGAGGTTCCTGGCTCCTTGAAACGCCAGGGTTTATGTTTACAGTCCAGTCATTCCATTTTCTATCTGTTTCATTCATATTATCTGATTAATACAAATTGTGCTGAGATTATATATTCTGTTTCTTGTGTTATTCTGGTTGTGGATTGACAGTGTGTGGGTGATTTGTGTGAGAATTATTGCTGGTTGGTTGTGGATTGAGTTTGTTTGCAGGTGATCTTATCAGTTTGTCAGCCCACTAGAAAGTCTAGAAGCATTCCTAGTTGTTTAATTACTACTAGCAACTGGTACTATTTTTCAAACTTCACACCTACAGGTCTTGATATAATGATTGCTTCACATATTATTACACTAAAAGCATTAGTTTAGCCTGTCCTAACCCAAAGTAACACTGTAGAAGGGCCTCTCTCTCTCTTTTTCTCTCACAATGACATGTATGCATGTGTATACATGCAGGGGGATGAAAACCAATTACTATTAAAAGCATTTCTTGCAGAGAAGAAAAACTATTGATTTGAATGATGAAGATACTCAAAATAAACTTGCCTCTAATTTTCTTCTTATGCTCTCACGTACTATAGTAAACTCAAGGTGATCCTTTGGACTGCAAGAAGTATAAATTGGATGTACAATTGATTGTTAGTTGGCCACAAAAAAATCGAAACAGTCATAGCAAAAAATACATGAGAATATCCAGGAAAAAAAAATTTCTAGTGGGTTTGGAGTAGCAAAATAAACCTGGAGAGTAGGTCATGTTCTATTTGAAGATCCATAGCAGTTGATCTACCTCTAGCACGGGTTCCAGCCAGTGCCTCACTACTGATGTTAAGCCATTTTCTATGAAATAGTTGTTCTGGCTATTCATAAAGTTTTTGTATAAGTCAAAGCAAGAACAAGGCCATTTGATCTCAGAAATAGTCATGAACAGATTTTAAAAGACATAAAACAAGTTTACTGATACAAAATCTTTTTATTTTTCCTTTATTCTTCTTTTCGGATGAAAAAATGGTGGTACATTTGGTTAAACTTGGCATAAGGCTAAGGGCTCACAATGAAGTGCTAGAACAACTTGAACCCCATAATATTGATGAAGAAATGATATGAATATTTCAACCAACTATTCCAGTGGTAGAGCGGAAAAACACTCAGTGGACATAAACTATGACTTAATTGTCTAGGACACCAAGAGAACTACTTTGAAACATGAAGAAGGAAATGAAGCCAAATACCAAACAACAAAAGCATCGAAGTCCAAGAACTTTATAGGTGAAAATGACCGTCAATTATCCTTTTGTATGGGGCACTGGCAAGTAGCAAACCAATTTTACATACAATACTTGTGCAAGGGGCCAAGTGGATTATGAAGAACCAAAGATATATATCCCATATGTTGGGGGACAAAGAGGTAGAAAAGGATGAAAACTTAAAAGACACCCCGAGAGTATATTTTTCTGAACAGCATCCTGTCTAAACCCTTAGTCATACTGGTATTTGTCAATCGGATTCCATTGCAAGATCAATATCATAAGCAAGGATTTCATGAATGTGCAATTTAGGAGAAGAGTATAGATGATTACAAAGAGCACAGGAAAATATGCACAATATTCTAGAATATACTAGTAAGCTCACTTACCGTGTTTCCTATAAATGCAGGTGCATCAGGTGGCTGAAGACAGAACTGGTAAGCATTTTCCCCTTCAACCTGCTGAAAGATAGTTCAGATAGGTTGTAAATACCCACTTTAAGATAAGTTTCACCAAAATTTCAACAAAATGTTATGATAAAAGAATACCTTCAGACAAGCAAGCCACGTAATAGGATCAATATCTGTAGCAGTTACAACTCTGCTACTACGTGCTAGTACAACCTGATTTCCGGTCATGATAGATTTATTAAAAGCAAATTGAGATAGCAGTGAGGGGAAGAGTAGAATAAAGACTTGCAGGTTCTGTGACTTTGAAAACATTTGAGCTTGCTTATGAGAACTACAAATATCTTCACAATCACAGAATTTTATAACTAGTTGGCACCAAAAAAAGGTTTTATTATGCTTATTCAATACCTTAATAAGCGGAGTGCTGCTTTGGTTGATTATCTGCAAAGCCCTCTTAACAGCAAGATTCCAATGTGTCTTACAGGGAGAATGATTATTACTTAAAATGAATGTTCTGGAAACCTCTTTCCGTAAAATTACAACTTTGGAAGAAACCTGCATCATTAAGTAAAATTAAACGGGATGGTGCAATAAACAAGCCTTTCAAGATATTACTGACACTCAGATAACCAATTATTTTGACAAATTCAACTCAGTCAGCTTATATGGACCTGGCGCATAGTGGATTCAAGTGTGTGAATGGCCTTTTCCCAAGTCCATGAAAGAGCATCATCCCAAGCAACAGTTACAGCAAGCATTGAACTTTCTTCAAGCTCATCAAACTCAACCTGTCATTAAGTATCTAGCAACAGATCTTATAAATACTAAACAAAAGTTTAAAATTCATGGGCATTAAGCACTTAAGAAAGAACACAAGTCCTCTACCTGAGGAACCATAAAGTAAAATGAACCAAAATCTTCCCATTCAGATGATATGTTAGCCCTTGCATCGAAACGAATTGCTCCATAGGCACGAATCAATGGGCATTCTCTAGAAAGAAACCTTCAATCAAAGATGTATGCAACATCAACAAATTGTCATTAATTTTTTATAATTACTAAAAATTTGACAAAAACATAGCAAACATTAATGTAGATATATAGTTTACCTTTTAATAGACCTCCAATCATTGTATGAGAATGGATGGAGATGGCGAAAGAAAACGGCACACCCCACACCGGCCACACTGACCAAATTATGAGTAACTGAGGTGTAGCCATTGCCATTAGTATATTCTAAGAAACTATTAGAAACTTTTTTTTGGCTTCGAGCAGAGAAGAAACAGCGTGGAAGAAGATTCTGTTGAGCATGGAGCCAATCAATTGCTTCAATTTGTTCTTGAATCGGCACCTTCAGTCAAAGAAGAAATGTGATTCTTTTTTCTTCAGTAGGAAAAATTTAGTTGAATGCGGTTGGAGCGGAGAGCGGGAAAGGATATTCAAGGAATTTACCTTTGTAGCATTGTATTATGAGGTATTTATAGTTTGACCCTTAATTATAAAAAGAATTATTTTTTATTGGTAAATGTAAAATGCTATACAAATGAGAGTGCAAGATAAGAATAAATAGAATCAGGGCATCCAGTGGAAGAAAACCACGTGGCAGGAGCCCATTACCCTCTGATTGATTAGTCGATTACAGATGAAATGAGTCATCCATCCACATCGAAGAAACAAGGAGACAGTGACATTAAACTCCAACTTAATTACCATAACCGTACCTGGAGCCTTATGATGCCAGACGTTAATGGAGGTGGGTTGGATTTCAACTCGGAAATGGCTGAGTTGAGTCTGTCCATGGCTAAAGCAGGAGAGGGAACTGGAGCAAGTGTGCGACTTTGTATTGTGCCAACACGAAGTGGAGAGTCTCCTTGGCAACCATTCATGGAGAGTGAACACGACTGATATCTCTGTTACATAATTAACAAGTATTCAGTGAAAGATTCATTTACATAATCAAGCATAACAAAGAGGTTCATTAACTTACATAGTGAAAAGTAGTGTTGTGAAGGGAATGCCTGGAGATGGGAACAGTAGTAATGTTTTTCATTGATTCAGTATCAGTGAAGCGTGGAAGGCAGTGCCCAGTGGCACCGGCCATGAAAAGAGAGAAAAATATAAGAGAGAGAGAGAGAGAGAGAGAGCAATGTCAATGTGTTGGCCTCTTAGCTATAAGTAATGATAAGAAGCGGATACCCATAAAGGGATTATTGTAATCTTCAATTGGAAGTGAGAGAGCAACATCAATCTTGGTCATCAATGTGACACGTGATAGTATTAGTACTAGTATTAGTATATTCCACTTATGGTTAGATGAATCAAAATTTTCATTCCAGAACTAGGTTTTTATATTGCAAAGATAGTTGACAGCAAACAAATTAAAACCATTGTTTTAAAAGCCGGACCGGACCGGGAACCGGTCACGTGTCCGGTTCGGATCAATTCTAAAACCGTTGTAATGCAATAGACCGAGTTAAACCGTTAAAAAATCGGATATTTTCAGTGAACCGCCGGTCCAACTAGACCGACTGATAAACCGGTCCAATTAAAAATCCCTAAACCTAATACACGCAGCCTTCTTCTCATCGCGTTCAGTTCATCTCTTTCTCAGTTTTTTATGAAAATTTTCTCAGTTTCTTACGCAAATTTCTCAGCTTCTTCTCTCTTCTCTGCAAAAAATTTTCAGCTTCATCTCTGTTGTTTGTTCTCTGCGAAGATTTCTCTCTGAAATCCCACCCAAATCACATCTGAACTCTCTGAAATCGACGACGACGTCTTCCTCCCTCACCGGAAATTGACGACGACAGCTCCGTTCCTCGCTGGAAATCGACGGCGACAACTCCATTCGTTAACGACAGCTCCATTTTTCGATCCAGGTAATAAACAAGCCATTCTTCGATCCAGCTTTAATAATCAATAATTTCAATTTCATTTTTGTAGCAATGTCATCCTACAAATATTCAGGAGGTCCTATATAGGATCTGTGAACAAACGAGCAGTCTATGGACTGTGTACTTCATCCTTTTGATTTTTATGCATCATATATCCTCTGATGATTAATACATAATGTGGTATCAAATGAGTGTAGCATTATTTGTCAACTGATATCTGGAATATTTATTTTAACACATTCAAGTGGCATTTTGCGTTATATGTGTAGGGATGTTACTATATATGTATNGTGCAAGATAAGAATAAATAGAATCAGGGCATCCAGTGGAAGAAAACCACGTGGCAGGAGCCCATTACCCTCTGATTGATTAGTCGATTACAGATGAAATGAGTCATCCATCCACATCGAAGAAACAAGGAGACAGTGACATTAAACTCCAACTTAATTTACCATAACCGTACCTGGAGCCTTATGATGCCAGACGTTAATGGAGGTGGGTTGGATTTCAACTCGGAAATGGCTGAGTTGAGTCTGTCCATGGCTAAAGCAGGAGAAGGAACTGGAGCAAGAGTACGACTTTGTATTGTGCCAACAGGAAGTGGAGAGTCTCCTTGGCAACCATTCATGGAGAGTGAACACGACTGATATCTCTGATACATAATTAACAAGTATTCAGTGAAAGATTCATTTACATAATCAAGCATAACAAGGAGGTTCATTGACTTACATAGTGAAAAGTAGTGTTGTGAAGGGAATGCCTGGAGGTGGGAACAGTAGTAATGGTTTTCATTGATTCAGTATCAATGAAGCGTGGAAGGCAGTGCCCAGTGGCACCGGCCATGAAAAGAGAGAAAAATATAAGAGAGAGAGAGAGAGAGAGAGAGCAATGTCAATGTGTTGGCCTATTAGCTACAAGTAATGATAAGAAGAGGATACCCATAAAGGGATTATTGTAAATGTAATCTTCAATTTATGATTGATTTTGGAAGTGAGAGAGCAACATCAATCTTGGTCATCAATGTGACACGTGATAGTATTAGTATTAGTATATTCCACTTACGGTTAGACGAATCAAAATTCTCATTCCAGGACTAGGTTTTTATATTGCAAAGATTGATGATTATACTATTATAGTTGACAGCAAACAGATTAAAACCCACAAATTTGCATTTGATTCTTGGAGATTTATATGGTTTTTGCAACATCTAGCACGATGCACGCAAATCTTTGTCATCGGATAGACAAACTCGAATCTTTCATCACAAGATATATTTTTTAACAAAAATTAAAACTCTACAAGGTAATTTGTGGTATAAGAAAATAAAAACACTTCAAATATTCATCTGAAATTTGGACAAATCTTCAGACTGTATGTATAAGCACTATTTTCATTATGTGTTGATCAAGATGAGATCATACAACAATTGGTACCAAAAATTATAATGTGGTGACTACAATACTATCAAAAATCCACCAAGTAGTTTCTCTACCAATAGTACAACATTCTCACTCGACTACGATTACAGAATCCAACACCAAAGGCAACTTTTGCCATATTGCCCTTCACCTCTCAGAAAAATTCCACGTTCTGGGTTCACTCAAGGGAGGGGCCTAACTTTTAGGGGGGACGGGGGACTAAGAAAGTAACCCAGAAAACAACATATACCACTGAGCCATCTTTCTATAGTTGACAAATGTTTCCTCGGAAAAATGGGTAATTAAATGACCCCCAAAAGAATAACAAAGATATCAGAACAATGCCTATTAGGAAAACAGAAAACTTCCCTAGCTTTTTTTCCGTTATCCTTCCTCTTCCAAATCGAGTCCACCAATCCGCTGTCGCCTCCTATCAAAAACAGCTTTGAACGACTCCCGCTCTGCACGGAGATGCTCTTGGAATGAGCTCTGCTTCTCTGATTTGCCAACACTATGCATTGATCCTGATCGCTCTTCTTTAGTTAATGGGTTAGACTTCTGCAGGCGATGGAAGCACACAAAACACACTTATAAAGTGAATCTTTGTGGACCGCAAACATAAGGTGAAAATTTTCAATCATAGAATGTGAACACGAAAATAAAAGCCATCCTTCCCATCCTATTGGCCCCAAGAAAAAAGCATGTTCTACCAACAAAAATGGAAAGAATAAATAGCAAATACTAGTAATGTGCATGAACTACAAAACCGTATTATCTAAAAAAGCGAATATACAATCATTACAGATTTAAAAATTATTTGAATTATCCAAATTATAGGCAACATTATTATTGCATGACTGACCAAGTTGTATCCGGCACCCGGTCCAATTACTAACGACAGCATGTCAGCATTCTTTGCGGCACCTATTGAAAAACCAGTATCACCAACCTGGTAATAAAATTAATTAGAAAACATGACAAGCTGAATAGTTTAGGAAAATAATCACGGGGAAAGGGACAGAATTAAGTGGATACACCAAACTTTCTAAACATGCAAGTAATATAAATTTTATTGTTTCTTATCCAAGAATATATTTTTCTAAACTTGTTAGAAAAAAATGAAATGCAAAGTTGTAGTGGAGTTATTTCCTAAGGACATACAAATCCAAAGAAATAGACCACTGCTATTGCAGGTTGAACTCTAAACTGCTTAAGCAATACCACGACTACACTAATAAAATGTCACATGCACACATGCATATACATATGTTGCTAGATAGACAGAGTGAAAATCTTTCTTATATTAAACTACCTCTTTTTTTTCTATTTTTTCTAAACATAAACTATCACATGAGAGAACATTAGTTATGGATATTATAAATCTCAAAAACAGGTAAAATAATTCAGCAGTAAATATTCAGAAGTCATTAATGTTTTCCCCCTCCAAGTATGAATTATATAACATCCATTAAAATTTCAAATGCTCTGTATCTGCTCCCCAATCTTCTCAAAAGCCAGATGAAAGCCCATAAGTATTAGCATAACAGGTGATCAAGCTAATCACCAGGAACAAGCTACAAGCTATGTATTAGCATTCAACATAGAAAAAAAAAATTTGGTGAAATCTAGTAGATACCTGGTCACCCCAACGAACAGATTTCCCTTCCCTACCATAAGTTTGGAACAGCCCAGAAAGAGAATTTAAATTACCCTTCACAACTTTAGATCTTTCAGCATCATCATCCTCTAAATCATCTGACCACTTACAACTGCCCAAGTCTTTAACTACTTGTGTTGGATGATCACTTTCAGCATCCCATCTCTTCCCATCAGAAGGAGAATCTAAAGCTCAAATAATAATATAATATATCAGCCCAAAAATTAGATAAAACAATGGGGAAAACTTGAGAAATTTTAAAAGATAATCATTCCATATGATTGAGGGGGAAAAACAAAATTGATCCACGATAAACCAATGAAAAATGTGTATTAGTAGGACATGGTAAGTCATATAGGTATGGAAAAGTAAATCAGATGCAGAAAAGAGATTTTTTGCATTCAAGAAAAATAAACCTAGCAAAATTATTCATAAAATCAACTCTCCACATGACACAAGACTAGATTACTAAGCAAGTAAAAAAAGTCATCCAAACTCAAGGTCATGCAGAGAACACTGCTATTATCTATATTATAAAAGGAGCTGTTGCACCTTATCTAACTTATGTATATAGTTATATGTATACACATGTTAACAGGCATGTATATACATACAAGTATCTACATAAGCAGTCTGCACAGAGGCTGTTAACTCCATTCAGTGCATGGCTTGGTAAGAAAAATGTGGATGTAGGTGTAATGTTCAATATTTGGGTATTTGAACATATAACTAGATGTAAAGCTTACTTTAGAAGTTACAATTAATTGTGGTAAGAAAGGAAATGTGGAGGACATTTGATGCAAAGTTGTTTTCTTTGAGTACTTCCACTAAATTGCCTTGATTTCTTATTAGATCCACACACCCTTATATTATTAAATATGATATTTAACCCCCTAATGAGATACATATTCCAACATTCAAGTGCTTTTACTCCAGTAACTACAAGCAGACAGATATATGCGACGGACTAACAATTCAAAAATCCCAATTCTTGCAACTTATATAATTTAATATGGTAAATCAAAACAACTCAATCACAACATGCATAAACAAAGACACAAAAACTATCAAAATCAACACTTGAACATACCAGAAGGTGGTTGATCCCCAACAACTGTAATGTTGTTAGAGAGTATTTCTTGTTGTGCAGACAGACCTTCATCAATATCTTCATCTTCCAAGTCCATGTCTACCTAAAAGATTTTAGCATTGAAAAAAAAAAAAATTGTGGAACAAACAACATAACACAAAATGCACTTCGACATAATTAATACATCACCGCTGATTGTTATTACAAGCAATATCGAATACTTTTCTTTGAACTGTGGACAATATCCAGTATAATTCACCATTTCATTTCAGGGATGTTTCTATTTCCCCATACAGAAACAATGAAGAACTTTTATGGGAGAAGAAACAGATAAGAGCTGAATAATTAATTATGACAACTGCATAAGATCCAAGACCAAATCTTTCTAGAGGGTAATTTTTACTTGCATAAGTTTTTCAAACACACTAGATGCTGCTGGACCATCTACATTGAGCTTACTAATTCAATGAATTTCGTGAGCCATTACCATGACTCAAGTAAGCATCCAAACCAGACAGATTAATAAGTTTTTATGAAGGGGTCAAGCTATTTTAACTCAAATATTTTACACAAATGTCTGACACAAATTCATGGCCCTTGATTCAAGGTAATCCAATGGCTTAAAAATTGCTTAGTTGGCATTATAAATAACTAACTCTTAACTTCTCATCCAAGTCCATTAGTTTAAGTCGAATCAAGTGTCATAAATTAGTGTCACAATTTTTGTCAAAAATTTGAGTTACAGTAGCCTATCCTCTATGAAAAGGGGGAAGCAAAATTCTCCATGGTTTGACAAGTAGTCATACAAGGCATGGCCAAGTTTGGGTTCAATAGGCTAGGCCTGACTTCAGAAAAGACAGAATCTAGCTATCATCAGGCAAAGGCACTTATCGTACTCTATTCTTAAAAAATTAAAAAAGGCAAAATCAGCAACAGAAATATTGAATTACCTCTTTAATCCCACTTTTCTTCAGGTCATCACCATGGAATAAAGACTGTCATGCCAGCAAGAATACAGCAAATACAGAAAAGTAAGTTACTAAAGTTCTGAAAAAAGATTACAAAATTTCTTAGAATTTCACAAGCCGACACATGTCAAATAGACTTTTCATTTCAGATTCTATTAAAAAAGTTTACATTTGAATTTCTCTACCTATGAACAATAATTAGCTCTAACTTCCAGCATTTCAACCAATATTATTAAATTAAGAGCATGTAATAATAACCTTTATATCCAGTTGCAGGTACAAAGATGGAGCTTCTTCCCATTGTCCAGCCATCTTTTCAATCGCATCAAAGGTAAAACCATGCACGTTCCTAGCTGCACAGCCCTGAAATTTCACCAAATTATTTACATACTTTCATTATCAAGTGAGAAGAACTTCTCACCCTAAAATCACAATTTCTTCATACAAAGAACAGAAACCATAAATAATCAAACCACATAAAAGGAATAATTCTTCAAAAAAAAAAAAATAAATAAATAAATAAATAATATCCAAACTCACCGCGGGGTCCTTATATGTAGCTTCTAAAATGTACACTTCATAACCCGACCTCTGACAAGCAAACAAGCAACAATAAGAAAAGAAAATAATAAACAAGAGAACCTCATATTATCTACCTGCTTAAAACATCATCATATAACATACAACACTGGCAATTTGCGAGGAAATAAGTAATATTAGTGTACAACTGCATCATCAACTGGAGAAATCTAAACTTCCTAACGGATCATGTTTCATTGCCATCTCATCTAAATGACAGAATGTGCAATTGCTTTTTCCCACCTCACTATTCAGCAAATAAAAATCAAATATAACACTAGCATAATTACTAAATTAATAACCATATGTAAAGGTCAGGCAAATTAGTGTTCAAAGTGAGTACTTGAAATGCACCACATACCAAGTAATGAGGCCAGACTTACTCTCTTCAGTTATCAGTGTATTGTGGAAGTTCACATAAAACGTTCAGACACTTTAGCATATTATTGTCAACATTCCTTCTTTTCCAAACTTTTAACACAATGACAATAGGAAGCATGAAAAAACAACTAAAAATGAAATTTCCCAAAATCTGCCAAACTATCTATAATTAGATGTTCAATCAACACAAATTCAATAAAACCACCTAGAGATTAGTGGTTCCAAACCAAGGCAAACACAACTTTAAAATATACATAGCCATAGTCAGTTAGTTCGTTGCTCACTTAAACATTGGGAAGTTTCCTTCAAACAAGAAGTCCATAACAAGGTATTTTAAGTTCGAGAAATCAAGTAATGAGAAAGAAAATAAATAGAACGGAATAAGCTGATAAAATGTAACAATAAACAGTATAGATGGACCATGTATACCCACAGCTGCCTAGAACAAACTTCTAAGGGAGAAGTATAACAATTCAGGAAGAATTTTGAATAACATTTGTACTAGTATACTTTACACTACTGACAAGAAAAGACAACAATAACTAAGCTTTACACATAATGGATCAAGATACAACCTTTCTTTTCTCAATATCCAACTTAGCACACGGTATATATAACAACAATAATGCTGCACATCCCAAAAGTTATCCCAAAAGTTATCCCAAAAGTCTCCTCCCACGGGATGGGTAATCTTATGTGGTGTTGAGATGTAAATGAGGTGATCAATTGGTAAATGAAATAACAATTCCAAACAAGATGATGCATCACTTAGGGTGTTAATTTTGGTGTACATTTTTGAATGTCTAGCATTACTCATACAACAAACGCTCTCAGGGTTAAAAATAGAAGCCACACATGCACAATCATATGGTGTTAGATGAATGAAATAGGACGTCAATACCTTCATTATATGCAACTGACTTTTTGGTAACGGCTTTAGTTCAGCTTCTAACTTATTCAGAGACATAAAATGGATGTTTCCATAAATCAAATCAAATATGCTGATATTAAACAGGCAGTGCCTCCCCAAAGTTATTGTTAAAATTTGCTAGTTCATATTATGTTAGTAAACACACCAAAGTTCCCTGCTATGAATTTGGATTGCTTGTACAACAATCATGGATCATCTCTGGGCCACAAAAGAGAAAGGTCCCAAAAATGATGATAATCCTTCCTTAAGGATGATGAGTACCATACTTAATACATCTTATAACCTATAATTTTTAAAAAATTAAAACGCTGTCTAGAGATGAAGTACAACTAATACGAAAACAGAAGGGGAAAAAATAGAGCAAAGAACTTCCAAACACTGATAGAGAAGATTTCATAAATATTTCCCTGCTTTGCTAATCCATTTAACTTAGTAATGGCATTGTATTCTAACATTTCAAATAAAATTGTTTAACTCTCTGCTTTTGACAGCAAACAAAAGATTCATACCAAATACAGAGCAGAGACTCCACTTAAAGTAAGCCCAAAAAAGGAAGTATATATTATAAGTAAACAATCGCATTAAGCATCAAAGGGACACCCCATGTGGTTAAAACCCATAAAACATAAGCAAACAAATGCAACACATTAAAATTATTAGCTTCTAACTTCAATGAGATCTGCATATGATTATGTGCACCTACAGACCTAAACTAGTCCCAGGAAACAGAAAAGACAACATATATACTTACAGATGTTGGAAGGAAAAAAGAATTAAGGGTATACCTTTGCAAATGCCCAAAACTGAGCAAAATCAGCTACCCGCAGATTGCGGTCATCCACTAAGACGAGGCACACATAACAGCAACAAAAGGGTCAATTGCCGAACAAAACTGCATCTGTGGTTAGTGAAAATGCAAGCAGTGCGGAGGCACTGCATCACCCTCATTCTATAACCCAATTACATTATTGACGTTCTCGAATGCTGTAAGTAGCCAGTTTAACTCAAGGAAGAACATTCAATTTCTTTTGACTTATTCTAATGCCTATAGTTTAAACTTTTTATAGAACAGAAAAAAGTGAAAATGTACTATTGCCAGTTTTCTAAACAGGCCATAATTCAGGCAGGTTCAAACAAACCCGCATTCTTAAAGAGAGTTATATCTCCCACCTGGGGCTACCACTAGAAACACATTTCAGATATCAAAAACCAAATATAGACACTGCCTTGATATCAAGTGATCAAAATAAACAATTTCATCAAATTAGAACAACTTTTCAACAAAGAACATAATTATTCCACTTCTAGACAAATGACCATCTCAACATTGCCAATACCATTGCGGTGGCCAGAATGGAAAAGAATGTAAATGATAAAAACACAACCAATAATAATAATGGAAATGCATGTTTTCAACTGGGACTTTAAAAGATCTCATACCAATTACAAAAGTGAAATTTCCCTCCTCAAGAGTCCTCTTAAATGCTTTCAACATGCTCAATCGATAAGCCTGTTGTGGGAATAAATATCAATCAAACTTCAAGAAAATAACAATATAGTTGTATGATGAACAAGCAAGTAGTTAAAATGCCAATATGCTAATGCACTAAGAGCAGTTAAGCATTGCATATGAAAGGAAATTTAAAAACCTAAATAGGATTATAAAACAGAAAGCAGTATTAAGAACAGCCTATAATAGGTCATATTTTTAACTTTATTTATGGGATTTTTCACAATATTTGAACAGGCAATTCATTTCCTGAGTGCAAGCAAAAGTTCGTTACACCATTCGTACTAAAAATCTGTAAAAAGGCATGGCTGTATTCTGTGTTCTTTGACAAGGCATGCTTAGCACAATCAAACGGTAAAGCCTATTGCAGTTCAGGCTAAAAAATTAATGCTGGATTTGAAACAGGCTGAGGACATGCTAGACTGATTTGAAATCCTTTTACTATGCTTTTAAGGACACAAATAAGGGGTATATAGTTTGACCTAAAAAATATCAGCAAAAACAATTACTTTCTGATTAAAGCAACATATACATAAATGTTAAGCCAGATGTTTGCAAAATCATACTATAATATGTTCGACACAGATGATTTTTAGCATTCTAGATAAGCTGAACAGTATTACCTCCTCCATTTCAGGTTCATAGCAATACTCCATCACCTTCTTTGTTATTGGTTTTTTGCTTCTAATTGAACTTGAAGATTTTGAAACATCACCCTCCTCAATCTTCAAAGTAGAAGATACATGATTTATTATAACATTCTATAAAGTAAGAACCTCACTCGGAATGACACATAATCTACGTCTTTTTATGAATGTGTGTGTAGAGGTGTCTGTGAAAGGACCATATACCATGCATGCAGATGCGCCGATGCACTTTATGCAGCAGGAAATGAAAAAGAGATTTCTATTCGAAACAACCACTTAAGATTTCAATGAGAACATCAAACACAGAAGTAACACAGTGCCAACCTTTTCAACTTCAGTCATGAAATAGTCATCCATAGAATGAATTCTAGGAGCATCACCACCATTTTCAACCTCAAGGTCACGCAACATTTTTGCTAAGTAGCTCTTTCCACTACCTGTAAATATAAACAAATACAATAAAGATTCCAACTACAATCATAGAAACTTTGATTAGGCATGTTTTGCCAAACTATGAACCAGAATTTATGCACATTTCCCTTTCTCTACTAATAAGCAGGAAACATTTATCTAAAAGTCACAAAACAAATGAAAATAAACTGTCTATGTATGTGTCAGCTAATTGCTAGGGGTCTTCAAAGGTAGTCCTTGCACACAACTCTCCACGTAAGCACATCCCTTAAAAAAAATTAACCAAAAAATTTTCTCATAAACCATGTCCCGTAATCTGCTCAGTCCATTAAGAAAAATGATACTAGAAACTCAGTCAAGTGCTGAAATTCCAACAAACATTTGAGCACTGAGAGTATCTCATACCACAATCCAGGAATACATCCAATAGCCTATAGTAAAGATTCAAATTTCACCAATATTTCTTCTACAGAAACATTAAAAATAATGACGAATTATTAAGAATGCACCAATCAAAACAAGCTACCTGGAAGCCCACGAAGTATTATCACAATATGATCAGGGCGAGTAGCTCGATGAGGTTGCTTAAACAGCTGCAAAGCATTCACAACTTTTGGCTTCTCCGGAGATAATTGCTTCAGGGGAAACGATTGGCTTTCTCCCAGGTACGGCATAGACAATGACCGGGATTCCTTCATGATACAAACAAAATAATTTAAATCAAACAACACAATGCCAACAATTAAGACGCAAAACCACAAACTAAGCATACGACAACAAACACATACCTCCCTAAGAAACTCAGCAGAAGCATGCGAAATTGGTGGGTATGAGGAAGGACGACTCAAAGGTACAGGAAACAAAGACGTTTTCGGTGGTGGTGGTGGCTGGGGCAGATGTGGCAGTGGGGGATCCACCGGCAAAGGCGGCGGTGGAGAAGTAGGAAGAGGAGGCTGCCCAATGCCATTGCCAGTGTGATGTGATAAGTAACCTCCTGGTGTATTCAAATGCTCATTACCGTTACAATAATTTTGGTGCTGCCATCCATGATGCGGTGGAGGTAACAGCGGTAGTGGTAACGCCGTTGGCGGTGGTTGATTGTTAGGACCATAACTTTGCCAATCATGATTCACATGAACAGAATTATTAGCTGCATGATTTTCAGCAGAATAAACCCCATTCCTATTAAAAAACTCAGGGTTTCCAGAAGCGCAGCCGTGATCGCGAATCAGCTTCAATCGGCGCTCGTGATCAGGTGACTGGTAATTGTTCTCATCAATTCTCATTCTTTTATTATTATAATTCCTATCATATTCACTAACAAAACCGTTGGTACCACCATAGTAATCATAAACCGGCGGTACCGGATTTGGCCCTTCGAAATTAGGGTTCACACCGTGCCAAGTTCTAGGGTCGAAGCCGGGGTGGGGTGGAAATCTAGGGTTTTGATTAGCGTAGGGCGGCGGAGGAGGGGGAGGCGGAGGGCAAAATGGGAAGTGAGATATATAGCAAATTGGACAGATGTTGTTGGCCGGGGGTGGTGGCCTGAAGTGCCATTGCTGATGATCCATGATTTGGTTTCAGAGCGAGTGTTTTCGAAATTTCTAGAGAAAGTGAGAAACTAAAGATCGTGAACAGAGAGAAAGAGCGGGGCAGGGAGTGTATCTTAAAAAAAAAAAAATTATATAATTCTCAATTTCATAGGTGATATTACATATTTGACCCTTTTCTACAAACTCCCTTTAGTTCTTCCCTCTTGCAAACCAAACTATTTTTTCGAACCGTTGAGGGTACAAACTTGTAATTTGATTTTTTTAAAGAAAAAATAAATAAATTTGAATTATTTTGGTTAGATTTTATTAGATCCCTTCGGACTAGGAAACTTCTTCTACTTAAAATTGTAAATCCTGATTAATTCAGGGTTATCAAAATTGCTTTAGGAAATTACAGAGAGTAAATTTTGCCAAGGCGCTTTCTTCTTCTTTCTTATGTCAAATTAGGAGACTTCTACCTGAACTGTAAATCCTGATTGACTAAGGGTTATCAAAATCTTATATAAAAGGATTTCACTGGTGAGACTTTACGAAATCACGCACAGCAAATCAATGTCCAAGGCGCTTTCTTCTTCTTTCTTTTGTTAACCCAGTTACTTACTGATCAAGCATCACACACAGACACACTCCATAGTAACAATTCACTCTCGAAATACAGTATGTCGTTAAGGACGATGATGAACCACCACAACCCCATAACCCGTCATGTGTCCGAGCATCAAGGTTACTACGGTACGTCAAATGTTCACTATCACATATACCGGCATCTACAAGTTTGCGTGGAGATGGATGATAATTACTGGGAGATTCTTGTGCCAGAAGAAACCAGAGTGGAGACTGTATCTGTGGAAGTACCCACATTCGATTTATTAATGGGTTCTTTCGACAGCTTCCCATGTCTGGTTTGTAAATCTTCTCTTCTTTCTGGGCGGACGATTTCTTCAGAGGCCTTGCATAGATCAATCACACATGAGTACTACTCGAGGGCTGCAGTCATAGCTAGACGCCTGTGGGGATTACTCAACACTGAAGAAAGGAATCATGGAATGTCAATCCCTCACTATTTAACGGCGTTGGATATTCAAAGAGTTTCTTACTTGGGATATGAAGAGATAATTAGGAGGACTTTAGAAGAATCCAGGGCTTCTGAGATGTTCAGGCCGGCTACTCAATCTTCGATTGAAGCACTGGAGAGGGGAAAATTTTGTGGTTCAGAGGATGAGAAGTGTAGCGTATGTTTGGAGGAATTCGAGCTTGGAGTTGAAGTGTTTCGTCTGCCTTGCTTCCATTTTTATCATGGTGATTGCATCGTTCCATGGCTGGAGAAGAGTCACATGTGTCCTCTGTGTCGCTTTCCCCTTCCACACCATCAATATTAATTCTTGAATACTTTCTTCTTCTTCTTTTGCGATTACTGTGAATGTCATAGATCTGTTTTCAGATTACAATTTTGCTCTGCTGTATTAATCAATTTTTAAATTGAATTTCTGTATAAAATCGGTAGCATTCTCGTTGCAAATTGTTCTTTTAATATTTTGTTACCTCTTTATTCAATTGCCTATTGTTTGTTTAATACTTGTTACTGTTTAAGTAGGTTTCACAATAATTTTCGCAATAATTGAAAGAGTAAACTGTTTTTTCCCATCTAAACAATAATTTAAAGAAACTTTTCTACCCTTAAACTTTTAAAATATCACTTTTTCACTTTAAAAAATATATTTAATGACACTTATCCATCAACTTCACCAATCATCTGTTGATTTCGACATCATTACGACTCTAAACTACCATAATTTTTTTTCCCGATCATCAGTCATTAAAACCCTTTAAACCTTACTCTCACCAACCTTACCAATCGTCGATAATCGAGCAATTAAAGTTGTTTAGCCTCCTCTTTTAAGTCAAATTCAAACCAATCACAACCACTAAAGTCTAACCTTCCACCATAAAAAACCTCATCGGCCTCCTCTCTTGAAAAATCCTAAAAGAATGAATCAAGTTTATTCTCTGTTCGTCGTCAAATCAAAAAGTGTATTTTTTTAAGGAAAAAGTGATATTTTAGTGAGTGAAAAAGTGTCGTTAAGTTGTTATTTGAAAGGGAAAAAGCCGTTGGCTACTTAACTCGAATTGAAAAAGCAATTTATTTCCTTCGCGCAAGCAAAAGTTGTTTACACCATTTGTACTAAAAATCTGCAAAAAGGCATGGCTGTGTTCTGCGTCCTTCTTCAAGGCATGCTGAGCACAATCATCAAAGTCAAGCGAGCAAAATCAAATGCTAAAGCCCTAGAGCAGCTCAACTCAAACTAAAAAAAATTCATACTGGATTTCAAACAGGCTGAGGAAACGCTAGACTGATTTTGCAGTCCTTTTACTATGTTTTTCAAGGCACAAATAAAAGGGTCTATATTTGAACTTAATCCCAGCAAGGAAATTTACTTTCTGATTAAAGCTACATATACATAAATGTTAAGCCAGATGTTTGCAAAATCATACTGTAATACGTTCGTCAGAGATGATTTTTAGCATTCTAGATAAGCTGAACAGCATTACCTCCTCCATTTTTTCAGGTTCATAGCAATACTCCATCACCTTCTTTTTCTTGCTTCTAATTGAACTCGAAGATTTTTAAACATCACCCTTCTCAACCTTAAAAATCAAAGATATTTAAAACATTCAACAAAGTAAGAACCATAATTCTTGTGTATATATATATATTTTCTTCTTCTTTTGCGATTACAGTGAATGTCATAGATTTGTTCCTAGACTCCAATATTTCACTGCTGCATTAATTAATTTTTAAATTGAATTTCTCATTACAAATACGTCTCTCGCTCTTTATTACAGTTATTTCTGCAAGGTTTGAGGGTTGGCTTTCATACAGTTTTTGCTACCGTCTTCCGAGTAAAAATTAATGAGTAAATAAAAGCAATTAGGCTGCACTCTTATTAACCCCCAATCTATCACAAAAGAACAATTTTCCCCCTAAATTTTAGCAACAATTAAATTTTTACTCCAAAGTCAGTTTCCGTCCATCTCATTTTCTACTTGACTGGCTTTGAACACTAAATTTTTAATTCTACCCTTGTTTTCACCAATTAGAAGATAAATATTTTTAAAATTAATTACCTACAGTCGATGGAAAAAAACAATTAATAACTAATTAAGAAAATCATCAAATATAAAAGGTTAGTCCCAAAAAGTTCATCCATTTCATAATTTTTTTTTTTTTTATCCAGAGTGTTCGGACCAGTTTGCGTGCTTGAATTTCATTTTATAAATTTTCTGTCTGCATTTACATAACCTTATATATGAAGTGAATTGACAGGATTGTCCTTTCACAATAAAATTTAACATCTATAAATCTGAAAAATGACAATAACATTAGATGTTTCCAAAAGCAAGGAGAAAAAGTGTCTTTTTGCATAGATTAGGGTCAATTGTCATTCGGCTAAAAAATTAAATCAAAATTTGTTATGCTTAAAAAGTCATACTTATGTCACCTAATAAATGTCTTTCTGTACTAGTTGTCAAACTCATATCTCCTTAAAGATGTTCTCACCAACCCTATCTTCTTTCAAGAAATGAATGGATGAGAGCCTTCCATGTGTCAAGGCAACTTGCAAAACATTCATTACATTTGAGTGCAAGGGTGTATAAATTGACACTCCTCTTCCCGAAGAGGGGGGCTGGGCATATGAGAGTTAACCATAGATAAGAGCTCACTTCTTTCTCTCTGTAAACATTATATTTCTTCATCTTTGTATGTCTTACGGGCAATATCATAGAAATAAGCAGAGATCAATAAAATAATAGTGGATGTAGGAGTCGCTTGTTTGAGCATCCGAACCACTATAAAAACCTCTCTTGTCAGCCTATTATTTATGTTTTTTACAACATATATAATCTGTGCTCCACATTCAAATCTCATGGATCCATCACGTGTGATTCCTAAGTCCGCTTAGCGCTTCTCACGTGCGAGTCGTTGGCGTCCAAAATTAAGCGTCAATAGTTTGGTGGCCCATGCAGGTCCGATTCTCAAACCTGTGTCCAAGTTCCCTGATGGCGTGCTCAGATCTCAAACCTGCGTCAGAATTCTCCAATTGTGTGGCCAGATCGCAGAGAATTCTCCAATCGCATGGCCAGATCGCAGAGAATTCTCCAATCGCATGGCCAGATCGCAGATTGCACACGTTAGAATTCTCCAATCACGTGGCCAGATCGCACGCGTCAGAGTTCTCCGATCACGTGGTTAGATCGCAGATCGCACGCGTTAGAATTCTCCAATCGCGTGGCCAGTTCGCAGATCGCACGTGTCAGAATTCTCCAATCGTGTGGCCAAATCGCAGATCGAATGCATCAGAGTTCTCCGATCACGTGGCCAGATCGCAGATCGTATGCACAGATCGTCCTGATCCTTGGCTTTAGATCGCTGATCTTTAGCTTCAAATCGCGTGTTCAGATCACTAATCACACGCTGAGATCGTTGATCTCTTGTGCTCTTAGGTCGAGCTCGTTGTGACCGTTCAGGTCGAGCTCGTTATGACTTTTTCAGGTCGAGCTCGTTGTGACCTTTCAGGTTGAGCTCATTATGACCTCTCAGGTCGAGCTCGTTATGCTCTCAGGTCGAGCTCGTTATGACCTTTCAAGTAGAGCTCGTTATGACCTTTGAGGTCGAGCTCGTTATGCTTTGAGGTTGAGCTCGTTTTGCTCAGATTGAGCTCGTTTTGCTCTCAAGTTAAGCTCGTTTTGCTCATGTTGAGCTCATTTTGCTCTCAAGTTGAGCTCGTTTTTGTTCAAGTTGAACTCGTTTTGCTCAAATTGAGTTTGTTATAATCTCAGATTGAGCTCGTTTTGCTCAGGTTGAGTTCGTTTTGCTCTCAAGTTGAGCTCATTTTGCTCAGATTGAGCTCGTTTTGCTCTCAAGTTAAACTCGTTTTGCTCTTAAATTGAGCTCGTTTTATTCTCAAGTTGAGCTCGTTTTGCTCTTAAATTGAGCTCGTTTTGCTTAGATTGAGTTTGTTATGATCTTAGATTAAGTTCGTTTTGCTCAGATTGAGCTCGTTTTGATCTTAGATTGAGCTCGTCGTGGTCTCAAGTTGAGCTCATTTTGCTCAAATTAAGCCCATTTTGCTCTCAAGTTGAGCTCATTTTGCTCAGATTGAGCTCGTTTTGCTTTCAAGTCGAGCTCCTAACAGATCGCGATCAGCTCCTAACTCTCAGCACTCGATCACGCCAAGAATAGTTCGAGCTCTTCAGTTTGAGACTTCAGCCATTCAGATCAAAGACCTTAGTTTCTGAAGCGCGATTACGCACTCCAAAAACTAGGGGCTTCTGTTATGCCTAAAAAGTCATGCTTATGTTAGCCTAATAAATGTCTTTCTGTACTAGTTGCCAAGCCTATATCTCCTCAAAGATGTTCTTACCAATCCTATTTCCTTTCAAGAAATGAATGGATGAGAGCCTTTTATGTGTCAAGGCAACTTGCAAAAGACTCATTACATTTGAGTGCAAGGGTGTATAAATTGGCACTCCTCTTCCCGAAGAGGGGGGCTGGGCATCTGAGATTTAACCATAGATAAGAGCTCAATTCTTTCTCTCTGTAAACACTGTATTTCTTCATCTTTGTATGTCTTACGGCCAATATCACAGAAATAATCAGAGATCAATAAAATAACAGTGGATGTAGGAGTCGCTTGTTTGAGCATCCGAACCACTATAAAAACCTCTCTTGTCAGCCTATTATTTATAATTTCTACAACATATATAATCTCAGCTCCACATTCAAATCTCATGGATTCATCACGTATAATTCCTAAGTTCGCTTGGCGCTTCTCACGTGCGAGTCGTTGGTGTTCAAAATCAAGCGTCAACAAAATTAATGAGATTTTAAGAGAAATATAAAGTAAGAGTAGATGATCGCGAAATTATAGGAAAAAAAAAGGAACTTTTAACGAATTACAAGTTTTAACCACAAAAAGAAACATATACAAGAACCCCCCGTTTTCTCCCTTCTTTTTCTGCTTTCACTCCTCGCTTCCATTCGGTGGACAACATGGCGACAAGAAACAAAAACTCGAGTTCAACAGAGGAAAAACACGAGGGAGAGGGAGAGGCATCAGTTTCAAAGAGAAACAAAGATGATAAGAAGGAGATGTTTATAGAAAGCTACAAAGTGGAGGGATTGTCCATAGCAGGCCATGAAACTTGCATAATTTTCCCATCTCTTAATTTAGCTTTTGATATTGGTCGATGCCCAGATCGTGCAATCTCTCAAGATTTTCTCTTTATTTCCCACGCTCACATGGATCACATTGTTAGTGCTCTTATCTCTCTTTTCCCGTTTTCAGTTGCTCTGTCTTCTTAGTGATCTTTATACTTCTTATTTCTGTATAGAGTTTAGTAAGAATAAAATTCATTGATTCTTTCCTAGAGGAGTATTGAATGTTTAACGTAATTGGAAGATTAATTAGAAATAGTTGATATAATTATTACCTTTGAAAAATGTAATTTTTGACTAGTTAAAGCTGTGCCTGCATATGATCTGTGTTGCATAACTTATAGATAATATATATATATATATATATATATTTTTTTTTTTTAATTTGATAGGTTTAAAAGTTAATAGAATATTAAAACACTCTTTTTTTTTTTTTCCTGGAATTTTGAATTGGATGAGTTTATTCAGTATCTCAATATTTAACCTTATTTTGTTCCTTATCTTACACATTTCTAGTTTTGGTTATAGATAGAATGTTCTTTTTTTATTGTAGAAACGTTTTTCATTCTCATGAGTTAATGTTTCTTAGGGAGGATTGCCCATGTATGTTGCAACCAGAGGCCTATATCGTATGAAGCCCCCAACAATTATTGTTCCAACTTGTGTAAAAGAAAATGTGGAGGAACTATTTAACGTTCATAGAAGAATGGACCATTCTGAGCTCAATCATAACTTGATTGGTTTGGATGTGGGTAATTATGTTCGACTTTTTCTCAACTTCTGTCCTTGAATGAAAATAAATCAGCTTACTTCTTGTGGCACATACAACTTGTATTTTCAGGGGAAGAATACTGCTTGAGAAAGGACCTTAAAGTAAAAGCTTTTAAGACTTACCATGTTATACCGAGCCAGGTAAACCTTATTCTTTTGTAATATTTTCCTCTTCTGGGTTCATATGAGACACTTGTTAATTTAAATTTTTAACTGACGTAATTTGAAATTTGTTTGGGAACTAACTGGCATTGTGCATGTTTTATTGCAGGGTTACATAGTTTACTATGTAAAACAAAAACTCAAGCAGGAGTATTTAGGCCTTCCTGGTCCTGAGATTAAGAAATTGAAGTCGTCAGGCACGGAGGTCTTTCTTACTAGTCATAATAGTACATTATCATATACATGTTTTCAAGGGATTTTCTTTCTTCTTTTGTTTGTGATCTTGTGATTGCTATTCTTTGTGCATCTGCCTTTCTATATTCTAATTCTTAATTTATTTCTTTTAAAGAAAAAAATGAATGGTTAAGCTTGTCAAAATGATTTTCCAGTTTTAGCATTGATGGATAGTTTCTGGGTTGATTTACTTTTGTCTTTGATACATATTTTCCTGTTTTTGTGTCTGACAAGGTTAAGTTTCGTATTGGCAGATTACAAATACTATTTCAACACCTGAAGTTGCCTTTACTGGAGATACAATGTCAGACTTTATTGTTGATGAAAGTAATATTGATGTTTTAAGGGCAAGGATTCTCGTAATGGAGGTGGGTCATATGGCTTGTTTTTTGTTCTACTTTAAATAGTATGGTTTTAAATTTCTCTCTTATTCCTTAGAGAAAGGGGGTAATAAGTTGCAAGTGTAGATGAATATTTTAGTTTACTGAATTGCATTTGTGTAGACACAACAAGAGATTCATTTTCCAATTCACCATTGTATATCTCCAAGTCATCAATGGGTTGAATAAGCGGTCATGAAGGAACCTAGCTGAGTTGTTTGGCTCTGTTTCTTCTTCTTGTCTGCTAACAAATATTTACCATTGGAAGTCAATTACCTGCTAATTGTTTGTACACCTGCATGCATGCTTTCATATATGTTTTCTTTGTATAAGGGCTGTCATGAATACCTTAACTAATAAAATCCTGGGTTTACCATTTCATGCAAAATAAAAGGGATGGTTTTAGTATAAATAGGTGTCTACACTATTGGTTGGAAACATCCTCAAAAGAATTAAGTCATTGGTTGGAAACATCCTCAAAAGAACTAAGTCAAACTAATAGGGAAGAAAAGAAGACCACATGGAGCTTTAAAATGGCTTGAGTCATCAAGTTTAGTGCATTATCCATTTCTCTTCTTTTCCTGCAGAGCACCTATGTTGATAACTCAACAACTGTGGAGCAGGCAAGAGATTATGGACACACTCATCTCTCTGAGGTACAGTCCCTAATCTCTTAATAAGTCTATTTTGTTCTAATGTGTGAATCGATCTGCATTTCTAACTCTTTGCTTTAATTTTATTCATGAACTACCAGATAGTTAATTATGCGGACAAGTTTGAGAACAAAGCAATTCTTCTGATTCACTTTTCAGCTCGTCATACATTAGATGTAAGTAATCTGACATAGACGCTAGGATATAGCCTTTTATCCTTTTCATTTAACAATATTACCTTCTGCAAGCCCAGCATAGCAAGGAGGGAGTTGACAAAAAACACAAGGTCGCACTGATAGATACTGGTGATTGTTTTATTAGAGGCCTATTTCTTGGCAACAGTGCAGTTTATAATTAATTGCCAGCTGCTGAATTTGAGTTGCAAATCTGATTGTTGATTCATAGGCATGGTTTGCTACATTGGTTCATGTGTAGTATCCATATATCAGTTTGGTCTGCCATTAATATTGGGCCCTTCGATATCCAAAATTCCATTGTACTTTAAAGGACTAGGGTGTGATATGCCTTAAGAGTAGGTTGTGGCTCTTTTTTATTTGCTATGCTTCCAGGTTGCCTTTTTTTTCTTCCTCAAACTGTATAATTCTTCCATGACTGGATTGATAATTTTCACTGCTGGTTTATCAGGAAATACAAGGAGCCGTTTCTGCATTGCCTCCGCCTTTGGCTGGCCGTGTGTCTGCACTTACTGAAGGTTTTAACAATAGGAGAAATTGAGACTTGAAAGCTTTTCTTAATCGGGCGTATTTTGCATTGTGGCAAACCATAGAAGCAGCTGCCCTTCATCTGATGGTTGCATAAATCTCTACTGCTGAAGACCAACTACAATGGGAATAAAGATTAAAGGAAAGCTATTGGTAGCTGTAGTCATTTCAGCACAATTCAAAGTTCTTATAAGTTAGTGCAGGAACATGTAACTGGTAGCTATTTAATTTTTGTCTACGGTGGAGTTCGTTCACAAAATAATTTACTATTTATTTTTCATATTCGGAATGATTAAGTCTTTTGATAGTGCAAACACAGAACAGGCATTTTAAGTTTTTAAACAACCAGAAACATTAACAGGCTCTAAAATGATTTATTAATTCAAGGCAACTAATCATTGGTAAATCTGGATGAATCAGAAGGCATGCCTTTTAACTGAGCAAATTTGTAACTAGAGAAGCCATAATCCCCACAAATTGTTTCGTCCCAATTCATTTCACAAATCAACTGGGTAACATGGCGGCAGAACATTCATCACCTATGGGCAGATGACTAGATTAGGATATCATGGGAAATCATACAATCGTTAAAGGTTACTGCGGAGAGCCAAATACAACAAATAACGTTCCTAATCCTTGAGGAAATATGGTAGATATTCCAGGATAAAGATCTTCCATAAGATCCTGTGGCACTCGCCACAGATTGTCACCAAAATTCTCAAACAAAGGAGATAAAAGCAGTCAAAACTCGTAAGTATTTACAATTATAGTCAATGTCAAATCATTCACAAAAGAAACATTTAAAATTGCAACAGTTCATTCCAAAATAAATGATGATTACACTGACAAGATTAATTAAACAAAACTTTGCAATAGCAACATCATTGAATAACAACACTACATTGAGAGTTGATACAGCTCCTAATTCTGCACNAACAACGTTCCTAATCCTTGAGGAAATATGGTAGATATTCCAGGATAAAGATCTTCCATAAGATCCTGTGGCACTCGCCACAGATTGTCACCAAAATTCTCAAACAAAGGAGATAAAAGCAGTCAAAACTCGTAAGTATTTACAATTATAGTCAATATCAAATCATTCACAAAAGAAACATTTAAAATTGCAACAGTTCATTCCAAAATAAATGATGATTACACTGACAAGATTAATTAAACAAAACTTTGCAATAGCAACATCATTGAATAACAACACTACATTGAGAGTTGATACAGCTCCTAATTCTGCACGGTTTCATCATCAACTACTAAATTCTTGAGTACGTTAGCTATCGGACAACAAAACCTTGTTTCCAGAACTAGGGAACTGACGACTCCCTCTATAGATCTCAGCTCATCCCGAAACTCAGGGTGCAAAACCAGAGAAGAAAAGTTCTCATCCAACACCAAGCCAAGACATTTCACAACCACTTCAAGCTTGGGAACCCAATCACAAGCAGATAAACCCAACATATATGATGCTTCTGGGCATGGTCGTGCCTGGGGGAACCTCTCAAACTTCTTCAACCATTTCCCCAAGTACCGAATCAAATTCATCATCTCTTTACCGCTTAACTTACTAATTGAGGATGATAGTATCACTTCATCAACATTAGATGATCCCAGCAAATAATGCAAACAAAGTTCAGAAACTGAAAACCCATCATGTGCAACCATCAGCCAAATTGAAGCCTCCTTTGCCACACATAACTTTTTCCGAGAAAGTTTTTCATCAGTTGCCTTCTCAATAGCTAGCAAGGCCTGGCTCTCCCATTCCTTCCTCACACTCACCATGCTGCCATATGCATCTTTCGGTGGACAAAGAAAATACTTCAAAATGCAAAGTAACTCAGATGATCCAAGATCTGGAGCATATCTAACACAAACACAAAGCAAATCTGACCTCTTCTCTTTTGCAAGTTTCATAACCAAATTTGAATAACACGAATGATCGACAAGCCCGTTAATGATCAAAGCTTCCACCAACTCCCAAATTTTCAAACCTAGACAGGCTTCCAAAACCAAACCTGCCACATCTCGACCCATCAAGAACCCAATCTTCTCAATTAAAATCCAGGTGAACCCATTATTAGACATATCACTGACATTCGAAATCCCAACATGCTCACTAAGTTTAACAAGAAATGGATTGAAAATTCCAATGAACTCATCCTTGTTAAAGTTATTAGTATCTTTGAGCTTTCTCTTAAGCTTCGCATAGAACTTCTTGCCTGAGTCAATGAGTTGGGTATCAGTTTGAGAAATTTCCCAGCCAGAAACAGGATTCACAAGTGATGCACGACTGATGTTTTCATGTTTTGGCTTCAAGTTGAGGAAAATATCATTTGGATTGAGAATGATAGGGTGGTCAATATGGGAACCTGGTGGTTCAGGATTGGCTGAGGCCTTTGTTATCACTTCCAGCAATGTCATGATAAAAACTGCTGAAACTAAAAATCTGTTTAAATAAAAGGGTACCATCAGAAACATAGAAAAAAAAAGTTCATTCAGAAAACAATTAACTTTGACTTATCCTCTCAACATAATTTTCATCGTAAAACCTAGTTATAGAACAAACCACAAATTAAACTCCAATGTGCAATCTAAAGCATAATCTATTAAAAAATCAGCTTTCGCATAAAATAAATCAATCCATTTTGAGTTCAAAGTGAAAACAATAAAGGCGGTGCATAGCAAATAACGTAAGTGAAGTATTTGGAGTACATTCGGCATGATAATATTCACGACAAACCTTATGAAGCAAATATCAAATGTATTCCAAATTACAGCTTACTGGCTAGACCCAACAAAAATTCCAGAGCATATAGGGTGCAAAAACGAGTACCTGACTTGAAGGATAGGTCTTTGATTGCTTAACTATAATATTCATACCAATGTTTAGGAACCCGACCCGTCTGCTAACCCGGCCAGGGAGCCGGGTCATGGGTCGAACGGTCCAACTGGCTGGTTGGACCGTGATGACATCAGCATGACAGAAATTTTTTTAAAAAAAAATGATTTTTTCAGAATTAGAAAAAAATCAACATACCCACAAACAGAGTAGGCATCAATAAGTGCAGTTCCAACAAAAGAATTAGACTCTTATGTATGATTAAATATCAAATAAATTTCCTTTTTCCCTTTTGTAATAAACATTATCTCGACCCTGAAACAAAATCCCATCCATCTCCAACGATCTGTTTCAGTTTAGAATACAAAACAGTACACATGCCATATCTTGTCTGTTACTTGATTCAACCAAAAAGAAAGAAAGATAATATAAGGAAAAGGATGAATGGGGTGGGGACAAAATATACACAGTATAATAACATTCCATCATCTCTTAACAATGTTTACATATTATTAGATACCAAATTGCTTAAGAGGAGACAAAAGTGAAACATTTACGAGAAAGAGAAACTTGTGTCCTAATCAGCGCCTAAGCCATGAGCTGTATTAACCGATTTTAATATCCAGAGATCATCACCAACATGGATGCCAAAAGTGGGGTTTCTCCTTGTAAAAGTTGTATTAGCCCATTTTAATTGATAGCGTTTTCAAAGTGAAAATATATAAAGAAATTGTATACAGATAAATATACAAGATATGTTCTTCAGGCTCTCAAAATATATAAAGAATATGTAGCATAAAAATCTAACCCAAGAACCCCGCTAACCCAACCAGCAAGAGAAGAAATAGCAAAAGCCAAAAACCATAAAAACGCAAGTTCGCTAACATCAAAATCCAAAACAACTAGCAAAACCAAACAGCAGCAGGAGAAAAAAAAAACGCAAAGCTTCAGCAGTCAGCACCATCAGCCAACACTCCAAAACAAACCAAATCAACGACATTATAAATAAAAACTAATTAAGCGCAAGTTCGCAAAGAGAGAGAAGAAACCTTAGACTTTGCACAGTGGAGTCTTGGAGAGATCGAATTCGAAGGCTGCAGAAGATTTGTCCGATTGATGAGAGAAGAACCAGTGAAGTTTCGATCGATTTGTGCAGAGAAGAGTGAAGGTTGCACTGTTGCAGAGAAGTTATTGAAGTTTTGTGCGTAAATGAGAAAGTATTATTTCATACACACTACACAGGGAGAGAGGCGTGTAAGCAAAAGGGTTTTAGCGGAAGAAGGGTTTCTAGCGAAGAGGTCAAAGGCAAGCTTGACTTTTTACTGGTTTTCTGCCCCCAAAACGACGTAGTAGGTATGTTTTGTAAATGCCAGTGGATTCATTAGGAAACCGTTTGATTTTTCAAGTGATTCTATTTAGCAAGTTTAAAACCCGACCCGGGGCAACCCGGCCAAGCACCGGATCACAGGTTTGGCGGGTCGAACTGTCAAACCAACGGGTTGGACCATAACATCAGCAAAAACCTCAAAAAAATTAAATGCAGATTTTAATTTTTATCAATGATAATAAAAAAAATTAATTATTTTTTTATATTTTACTGTAGCTGACCCGGTTTATACCAGTGGTTCATCGCAAAAAAAACCAGTTCAACCGCAAGTAGAAACGGGTCAAATGCTAATTCCAGTTTTTTATATAAACCGACCTAATCTAATCACCTGTTCTCAGTCGAACCGGTTCAATCGGTTGGGCCGAGCCGGATTTTAAAACCAGGGTGTTATTTAGACAAGGAAAATGATTATTATTGGATCCAACCAAAATTCAGTATAATATAATAATTTAAAAACTAATTATATTTCTACCATTTTTTAAAAATAATTTAATTTATATTTCTACCATTTTTTTTTAAATAATTTAATTTGAATCCTTTGTGTACAAGATTAATCGTGATATTGTAGTTGGGACTTTAATTTGTTTTGTTGTTCAAAATTAACAAATTTTTTTTTTTTTTAAATTTAGGAAGTAATTGTAGAGCTTAAATAATCTTTACATCTTTTTTTTTTTTTAAATAATTAACAATTAAAAATAATCTTTATTTTTTGTAAATCAAGATTAATCGTGATAACTTTTTTTTTAATCAATGAGCTTCATGGAAGATGGAAATACAATTAGTTAGAATTAGTTCAAATATTTTTGATATAAAGTGACAAATAAAGAGTATATATATATATATATATATATATATATATAAAATACCAAAATTTATATAATAACGTCCTTACTGAAGAATTATATATATATATAATCATGGATTTATGGTTATTCAATTTGTACAAGATGTAACTCTAAAAAAAGTTTATGAATATTACATTAAATATATTTTCAAATATTAAGATATAATTTAAATTTTTTTAATTCAATTTGCTTTTAAAAATCATTTTGGGAATCACAAACAAACTAATCCAAGAAACGTAATAAGCAAACACGACAGGGAAATAACTTAGTGAGCTAATAGAGTAACATATATCCTGATTCCATAATCTTCAAAAGTCACAAAAATTTCTTAGTTTTATTCATGAAACTAACAAAGAGGAAGGAGTGAAAGAACACTACATATGCTGACTGCTATCAAAAGTAATTTATTGATATAAAAATTTCTTTTCTCTCCTCTACTAATCAATGTGAATCCTCAGGTAGATGGTGGAATCGCCCACTGGCTTGGGACTGGACCAACATCATATATTATTTCTCTATGGCTTGACCAAACAAGTTTTATTGCTTCTGGGGTCCCGATTCCAGCGCCTCTTGGGTCTCCGGACGGTCCAAACCTATCATTTGTAGTAGTCGTTAATATATGCACTTATAAGCACTAACAATCTTCTCAAGAATCATGAAAACAGATCTAAAAGGATTTTAATTTTCTACTCACCAGTGATTCTGTGGAGCTCCAGTTGTTCGTGCTCTTAATCCAGCGTATGTAGTTCCATTTACTGTTTGCCCAATGACTTCCTGCAAATTGACTTATTGACAATAAGCAAAGCTAAAACTGCAGAAATTGATTCATAATACATTCCTACATATTTCAGTGCATTGATTAAGAATTCGAAAATCGTCCTACATGCCCAAGAAGGCAAGTTCAAGGTTGAAAACTTATTTAAGGGGCTGTATTCTTAACGCCTGAGAATCAATCATTTATCATGTTCGGAATGGTGCCCAGGTACAAGCAGCATACGACCAGATGGTTGAAGTTTTGCTGACTTAAGTAGTACAAATTTATAGTCAGCATAAATAATCAGTTTTATGTCCATGAAGAATTTCAAACATAAAACAAATATTTGCCGGTTGTCTCTCAAGATCTACTTTGACTACACTGTATGATATTTTTGTATCAACCCAGTACTTATCATATAGATAAGATTATCTAGTTCTTTGATGAGCCTGAGAGAGAGAGGGAGAGAGAGAGTAAGAGAGAGTAGTTAAATCTTGCCTGTAGAAAGTGTAGATCATTTGAAACCACTGCAGCTGTTAAATGTGCATGCATTCTCTCCAGAGCATTCAGCACCAATGGGAGTTGATCTTGCTTATATTCAGTAACAACCTAGAAACAAACATATTTCCTGCTGTCACATTCAATATTTGTAACAAGTACTTAGGAATGTGCTGCCCTCTACAGCATTTTCTTTTGATGGGTTTTTATCTATACATCATTCAACTAAAAAAAGTTTGAATCCAGTAATAATCAGTTAAATAGAATGTGACTCTCACACACTTGATCCCCAACTCCAATGCACACTCTCAGAATCTGGGATAAGTTTTAACATAAGCCCAAAAATATGTGTTCTGGTTTTGTGATATAAATAACTTAAAGAATTCAACAAAATCACTAAATGAAAGACAACGAGTTTTGATAGCATGCCTCCTCATTGTGAACCTGCACCACTGCTTCACTTTTAAAGCATAGAAAATAACTATATTGAGATATTTGAGGTTATGTTCATTTTTCCCCGTCAACCAACCTTAAAAGGCTCCCGAGCAAAGTATAATTAAGATATAAAATTAAATATATAGTTTGGTAACACTCACATACATATAAACAGTTAAAAGAGTACTAATTTCTCTATTTTTATTTACCTGAAATGGTCCGAAGATTTCTCTTGTTACAAGCTCATAGTTGTTGTCTTTCACAATTTCTTCAAGTGGAACATAGATGGCCGTTGGTTTTAGAGCACCATAAATAGTAGGAATGGAATGGTTCTTCAACTCTTCACCACCAAAGAGTAACTTTGAACCTGGTATCTGAAGCAACTTATTCATGTGATCAAGCATTGCTTCAGTTGTAACCTGCACAATAATATGGAAACCAGAACTGAGACATTGTAAAGTTGTAATTCAGAATAATAATATGGTACCTTTAAAGAAACACCACTTTAAGAGACATGCCTCAATAAGCTAAAAGAGATTAGTTTCAGCGACTCTTCAGTGGGTGAGAAAAAGAATTGAAAGTATGAAGCCATTGGTCAGACCTACAATTACATGCATTCTTTTTGTCCTATTAGTGCTAGTGTACAATTTTTGACATTACCAGCGTGCTAATTTGTCAAATGCCTATAGAGAGATAATATTACTTTAAGACTTAATTCAACAAATGGGCAAATTCATCCTCAAACATGTCACTTTATACATATAACGCTCACATTCAACCACCATAGGTAGTTTGGGCTAAAACCTAATTTCCTAAGGCTTTCTAATCAATTTAGCTGCATTGGTAATTTTATTAAGAGCTAATCTAGCCAGCCAACCATGTCCTGGGATTAACAAATTGCCCAGAAAGCTTAATGAATGCCTCATTTGCTCATAAAATGCCCATTAGATTCGAAACAGTTAACATTTCATCCGGGTTTTTATGATAAAAATTTAACAATATGTTCAATGACCCCCATCACAAAGCCGCAATACCAGAATCATTGAATGTTGCAGTGGTATTCACCAAATAAGTAGCCTATGACAATCTAATATAAAAATTCACAATAGTATATATATAAGCAAATTGCCACACTTACAGTAAGAACTGGACCAACAGTTAAATCCTCCAACTTCCTTCTCGCCGCAAGGTTCTTCATTTGGGATACAAGTGAAGTTGAGGACCAGTTCTGCACAATGATAAGATTATATTAACAAAGAAAGGTTTGGAAATCAGAAGTATATATGAGTACTGCATACTGCTAATCTCTAAGAAACTCTAGAGAAACAAACTTAAAATTAAAAATATACATAACCTAGAACAGAATCAAAAGTTTAGCTCCTTAACCCTAGTTCTAAACGTTAATACCTTAAGATTAATCATAAAGCATTAGTACATCTATACTAGACCAAGTACAGAAAACTAAAACCACAGCAGCTAACCTCATGCATGAATAGTATTGATTGTGCAGAACACTTCTGACCACTGCATGCATATGCATCTTGGTCGCAAACCCATGCAACATAATCGACCTACCATTCAGAAATCAGCAAGAAAAAAAAAATCAATATAATTATCTTAAATCTACAAGAATGTAATAGCATGATCCAAAGTAAAAGATTTCTTCCAAGAAACCTCCTGAACATCAGGTCCCAAGATTTTCCAGTCAAATCCTGCATCTTCCAATTTAATGCGGCCCTTCAAGTCAACAGCCAGTTTATCAGCTACTCTGGAGCTACCAGTAAACAGGGTCATCCGTGGATTTGCCTAAAGAAGCAACATAAGATTATATGTTAATTTTATTTTCATTTTACGTTCAAATTTGCATCATAATCATAAAAAAGCTGTGGATAAGAGCTGAGAAGCAATGCCATCAGAATAAAACATGAAAATTTTTTCCATGGTTCCTTAAAACCACCTTTCCTGTAGTAAAGGCTTCACCTTCTATAACAAAAGAATTAACTACAGATACCTTTTTTCAGAAATTTAAGTTTCTTCTAAAACCATCACGCACAGTTATTTGCATTAACAAAGAATTACAGTGTCCAATATCACCGCCAACCATGACCAATGAAAAGCACACAGTTAAATTTTAGATGACAAACCTCCATCAGCAGCTTGTTCATCGCTTTCCCATCAGAATTTATGAAATCAACATCTTCCACAGGTAACCCACACTGATGAAGTAAACGTATCATCTGCTCCATAACAATGCTGACCTATGAAATATTTACAAAGTCAAAATCTGACTAAGGAAACCTTTCACAATGTCAAAAAACTAGAGTTTTCTTCAGTACGAACAAAAATATTGTGAAACAATTGTAAATTATAATGAACATCAATCTACTGGATCAGTCCTATACATCATCCTTCTCTCTCCTCCCATGCAAATTTAGTTGAACACCCATGAATTTTTCTATTAAAACAAATGGTATGACCTTTCCTAATTGTGGTGCCTCTCCCAATCCCATTAAACATCAGTGACACTTTCCAGAAACAAGAAGCAGAAAATAACTAATAAATATGCATCATGTATTGCAGTTCTGCAATACTAAAATAGCTCATATCATCTTGAAACAATTAATATGATATAAACAAACCATAATTACATGCCACCAATGGTATTTAATCACTAACATACCTTGCTATCAACCTTGAGAGTGGGCTTATTACCCATAAAGAGAGCACCCATCAATTGAAGTACAGGAATCTCTAGAGGAAAATTAAAGGGAGTAACAATTGCAACCTGCAGATAAATTCTTTTAGATTCTTAAATCATAAGAATTTTATGAAGAGTAATGAATATATAACATGGAAACTATATACAATTAATAAGTAACAACATCTAAAGCACCTACTATTCAATATGACAGCAATGAAAAGATGTCATGTGCAAAAGATTGACATGGTGAAAACACATTTCAAAATATAAAAACTAATCGCAAATTGGAAAACCATCATATAGATTATAAAGGAAATGCTTTGTCCTTCTTCTCTGTTGTTGATATTTAAAATGGATTAAAATTTAACCATCTAAATCTAAAGAGAAACAAACTTTTATGACGCAATAATCTTCACAAATCATTATACTTGTAGATGAATTCCTCATACTTAAATAATCAGTGAGACAGGATGTATGAAATTCTTATATCTTTAAAGAGAATGCCTTACAGGACCATAAGGCCAACGAAAACCATGGCTCTGCTGTCCAAGATGATTCCCAGGTACAGCAAAAGACCTTGCCAGAAAACGAACCTGCCAGACATATAGACAGAAAAAAGGTTAATAGTAAATTTGTAAAAGTTTCAGCAAACTTAAAAAGATACCGTAACTAAAAATTGTCCATCAGATTATTAAATATATATTTCTAGCTTATTCTGAAGCATGGCAAACATGCAACAATTGTGAGGATGGAAATTGTACAATAATGGCAAACAAGCATATGACATTCATCAATAGTGGAAACTATTTGCCAGATTTCCCCTTTTTTCTTGATCTTTCCAACCAAAATTGCTCAACGAGGTTGATCTTGAAGTACCTGATCACCAGAGAAATTCTCCAAGAATTTCTGTGTAACATAAACCTCACCAAAAGCCTGCTGATAACTCTTAGGAGAAACCCTTTGTATTAACCTAGCAAAGAAATCAGTGACCTGAATGTGAAAAAATAATCAAAAGGGGTCAATCGGAAGCATAAAAAAGCCTATAAGTGAAACTACAGAACACCAAAGTCAATGAGATTAAGGAAGATAGATATTCAAAATTCTTTCAAGCAGAATGTATTACCTTTGGCAGACCAAGCATGTGGGCCGCCTTGGCAGATATGTCTCCATATAACAGATACCTTCCAAAAATGACCCATCAGTAGTATTCATTGTTAGAAACTACGCACCACATCAAACTACTGATATAAATAAGAAAACAACTACTTGGAATGATGATATCTTTACCCATCTGACAATCCAATAAGCAAAGACAGAAAGAGGAAGCAAAGATAGGAATAGATGAAGAGGTGAAACAAACCTCTCTGGTGCTTTAAAGGGATTATGTAGACCATGTTTAGGGCACTTGGACAAGCTCTCTACAAATGGCTGTAAACAGGTTCAATAGTAGGGAAATTTAATTTAGATGCAACCCAATAACATAAGAAAACAAAAAGTTTAGACAAGTTTTCACTTGAATAAAAAAATTAAAGTAGATAATAAGAAGATGCTTAGTGAAAAAAAAAAAAAGGACTAAAACCTATGCCAGGTTGGCCACAATATACACCTTCCACTCAACAAAGGGGAATATCTGCTGGCAAACAAAGCAATGGGGTCAGTTTACATAACACACAAAGGAAGTACCTGGATTTCCTTTTCAGATACATCAGCAATCTTAATGAATGGTTCTCCATTTAACGGATCTACAATTGTATTCCAACTTGATGATCCTGTCCATTTCCCCTGCACTAAAGGCAAAAACATTCCATGTTCAAAACACTCTCTTGTTGTGAGGCTTTACAAAGAGCAAGTTTAGAGCCTAACTGGAGTCCTATAACTTGCAAATAACTAAAGAGTTACCATAGAAAATTGCACCTAGCAAATTCTTGTTTGTTTCACAACTGCTCAAAAACTACTCCTTTTCGTAGCAGAACAATATAGATAGAGCCATCAGTTTCAGCTTAGAATACCAAACGATGTAAGAGTTGCGGTACCTACCCAAGTTGTATACTTCAGCAGGTTGAGAAGCGGATATTTCTTCAGCTTCGACAGTAGTAAAAGGCAAAGAATGAGCAGATCTGGTACACAGGAAAATATGAAATCAGGTAACGAAATTTCCCATAAATCCATGTAATAAACACCTTAACTATAGAACAACAATACATAAATCATAACAATCCAAACTCCAGCCAAACACTACAACTATAACCCACATCAAAACTACTCCAGAAAATTAATTTCCCATATAATTAAATAGAATGCAATGAAATTTAAACAAATAAAAACCCCACCAGCAGATAAATAACATCATAATATAACGCATTCAATCTCATTGCATTACAAATAATTTTCGAAAAAAAAAAAGGGCATGACCAAAACGTCCCCGTACCAATACAAAAAGGACCATCTTTTAATATGGAATAATAATAATAATAATTCAAAGAAAAACAACAACCTGAATTGAACTACGCTTACTTCTCATCTCTCAGATCAACACAAACTCAACATATAAAAGGAAATAAGAAAAAAAAATACCTAGAGAGATTGAAAGAAGAGAACCAACTGTAAGGCTTCCGGGGAGCTCTGGAGGCGAGAACTCTATACATGGTGAGTGAGAGAGAACTGAAAGTGAGTTAGAGTGGCGTCGTCTTTTTAGAATGGGATCTTAACTTAATCAGCTGGGCCTTTATGATTGGACGGACCATAAAGCGTCACAGTCGACGAGCTTAGTTTGGTAACATAATAATTTAATATATTTATTATTTATTGAAAAGATCGTACCGCCACGTCACATCCCAGTCACTTAATGTATTTTAATCTACTGAGAATGGTTATAGTGTAGTGTCAAATATTCTCTATCACACTTTCTCAGTTTAATTTCCGTTAAAGTTGAAGGAAATGGAATAAATCATGAGACAGGTTTGGTAGCAAAGGACTCACTTGCAGGTCTATGGACCGTAATGGTCCTGAGGTACATAGCATCATAACATGATGAATTAATGATTAGTGACTAGTGAGTGAGTCACTAAACGCGGAGCGGGATAAGAATAAAGAAAGGAACAGCTGTCTTTTAAGCGTGAAATTTGGTCACGTGACAATGTTATCCTATAAATTAAATTAATTTTTTTAAGTGCCATGTTTGTCTTTTAGAGACTGTCACGAAATCTCTTCTCTTGGTAAGACTTTAAGGTACATTAGTACACGTGACGAGGATTCACATGGACTGACCTACTTTGGTTTAAATTTTAAAAATCAAATGGACCAACTTAAACCTATGTGCCCTTAAAAGGCCTAGAACTTCCAAAGCCCATCTTCCTGACCCAAAACCTTAATTTAAGGTACATACATAGTCTTATCTAAAGCTCTAAACGGAAAAGAAGGCAAAAAAATAAAAAATAAATAAAAAATAAAAAATTTATAGAGTAATACTACGCCCACAACAAGTGGCGGATACAAGATTTTTGCCCAGAGGGAGCCTCCGCGGCTCTGCCATTGTTTGTCAAACAACTAGTAAGAACTTTAAAAAATCGTCAAACATTAAGCAAAGAAAATAATACAATATCATGAACCTAAGAGAAAATAATGTAATAACACAATACTTTCTTACTTTAATAAATATATGAGAAGCAAAATTTTGAGCAAAACGTTCTTTTAATTTATTTATTTATTTTTTTTGCCTTCCACATATTATAATGTAAATTTTCATGACTTTGATCAAACATAGCTTAAACTAAAGTCAATAAAACTTAAATCAAGTTAATATTGCATTAACTTTTAATATGAATTAATAAAAATAGGGAGAATTTTCTTAGTAGAAACATATATAGTAACCCAAATTTCTTTAATAATTTTGAGCAGTTGAACGGTGACGTTTGAAATGTACGAAAGTGGTTAATGAAAGGTAAAGAATAACGTCTTTCAATATATAGTTAAGGTTTTAATTTGAAAAAGCAGATTCATTCTTAGACATAAAACACAAAATAAACTTATAATATTCATATTTTTTTCTCTTAAATTAGAATAAAAAGACCTCTAAAAGAACAAGCATGATTAAACCATAAAATAAACTAAATTAAAATGAGCAATATACATATATAAAACTGATAAAACAAAAACCAAAGTTAATTGTGGTACTTAAGTAGTGCAAGCTTTAACAATTTCAGTCTTTCAAAAGTTTTAAGAGCGAATAGCATGAGAGAGAAAGAGAATGAGAAAGTAAAGAATTTTGAAGATAAAATCATAAAAAAAAAAAAAAAAAAACATGTGGAGTCGTGGAGAAAAAAGAGTAGAGAGAATTTTAAACTTTTGATATGATGTGGGCTTGGAATATACATATTAATAACAAGTTTTTTGTGGACCCATATATATATACAATAGTTCTCATTTTTTTTTTTTTAAATCTGAGAGATAGGCCTAAGTATACAAATTAATGACAATTTTTTGTGAGTCTATTTATTTGTATTTTTTTTTTTTTTTAAATATGAGGGTAGGCCTGGGCCAACCCTCAAAGGGTAGATCCACTCCGGTCCACAATCCAATCTTATAAGATTCTCTTGCAATCTCAACTTGATAGTTGAGTTAGTAATTGTCACGTCAGCTCTCATCACATTCAAGACACTAAATGATTTTGACTAAACACGAATGATCGTTCTTTTATAAGGAATAATTGTTCCTTAATAAGCAATGGTTGTTCCTTATTGAGGAACAATCATTCATTCATACATAATGGTTGTTCGTTATAAAATAACAATCACTTTCTCATGAATGAAATAACTATTCCTTATGAATGAACGGTTGTTCGTCTTTAAGAAACGGTTGTTCATGTTTAGTGAAAGTTGTCAGTTGACGTGCGTGGTAATGCCAACTCTCTACTGCTACGTTAAAGTTGAAAGAAAAGATTGTGAGATTGAGTTGTAAACGTAGTATTTTTGAAAGAAAAATATAATCATATATGCAAGAGACATCAAATGAAATTTAATTTTAAAATAAAATAAAGACACTCATTGACATTTGATAAATCAATTGATGATAAATTGCATCACCTTTTATCATCTCACAAGTATTCTACTCTTAACAAAATAAATAAAACAAGGTCTACTGGGATATGCTTATTCTGAAAATTGACCCATTCATGGAAAGCAACACAAATTCATTTACTTCATATAATACGTTGCATTCATCTGCAATACCTTACTCTTACGGATGCCTGAGTTTTTTTTTTTTTTTCAAGTTTTCTTTCCAGGTTCAATGAATCTGCACAGTTCTCGAGTAAAATATCTTAAGTTCGACCGGAACGGCGGCAAGGACAGTATGTACGGTATTCATTTTATATATATATATATATTAAGAAATCCATTGACTTCCTTGTACCAAGATTATACCATATTAAACGACTGGTTTAAATACACAAATAATAGCTAATTATACCTAAATTTATTTAACCTAATTATCTTGCATGCTCCAGACCACAATGGGTAATTTCTCCCACAGCTTTTTTGTCTGGCTTTCACTTTCTCGCATGATATCTTCCATCATCAACTTCAACATCCAGATAAATTTCTCACCACCTTCTGAATTACACATGCTATACGTACGCATGGAATATGAATGGATGGATCTTGGACTTTATGGTTTTTTTTTTTTTTTTTTTAATCAATATTATAAGACTTCATCTCATCATTCAAATTCCACCATCATCGGAAAGAGAAAAGGTCTATAAATTAATAAACAAATTACAAACTTCCGAATCTTATCTTTTTTAATCCACTCGATGACCTTACAAACAATCATCGACCAAGCAACAAGCAACCTGGTAGAAATATCCAAGTCTCTGAAATTGATATATATGTATATATAATTGAAATTTATAAGTTTAGTCCATGTCAACATGTAGATGGCTAACAATGGATAAAGTTGAAAAAAAAATATAATTTGTCTGGAGAAAATTGTAGGTTGGTGATGATCATTGTAATGTTTTTTTTTTCCTTTCTTTCTTTTATTCTCTTCGCCAACTAAAAACTCTGCTTCAACCCTATAAGGCCACAACCCTGGCCTTAACCCTAAGCGTTTACTCAGGGTCGCCCACCCAATTTGATAGAAACTGCAGCTGACCTTAGTGAAGAACTAATTATGACCTTAATGAAGAAATTCTGAGCTCTGCATGCCTTCTTTGAACTTCCAGCTTCATAGGATTTTTTGACAAAAATGAAGCTAGCTATCGAATGATGAGCTACCGCTGTTGTTATAACAGCTAAACAACCCTGTTTGCCTTCCAAGAAAAAGAGGTCTAACATTCCTAACTTAATTTTCTCCGAAGTTGTTGGGTATCTATCAAAAGAATTAATGAAAAAAATTCATTTATGGACCCAATCGATCCAAACAAAAAGTTACACGATTAAATAATTAGTATCCCAATAACTAGGAGTTTGATTGGATCTTAAACATAAAAGTGTTAAGCAAATCTTACTGAATCTGAATTTATCTATCTTCAAGTTTACTAAAAGACACAGAAACCTCAAATATAAGAGTTCTAAATCCAATGGTTGATGGGAATCGTTGACCTTTCATTAATATTGTAACCCTACCAACTTGATAGTTAGCTTTTTTAACAAAGAATCGATCTAGCAAAGTCTCCAGGTCGTGAGGATTTTTCATTAAAAAATGAATTACTTCATCGTCAGATATATCAGAGGCTGCCACATTTTTAAATCTGTTAAGTTGATCCAATTGCTTGATTGTTTAATTAATAGATTGATTGTATGACTGCTCGAAAACCAAGTACAATGTCAACTTTATTTAACAAGAATTTCTTTCGATCATTTTATATATATATATATATAGAATAAACTAAGCAATTTGTTAAAAATTAAATATATTCTGCAAGTCAGATTAAATTAAGATGAAGCTTGGAAGCTAATGCAAGTAAGAATAAAGTTCAAAGCATTGACAACAATTAGGATGTTAAAATTTGAAAATTTTAATTAAATCAATTAAGGTGATATTGATACATTACTTTTCTTTATCCTTTTTTTTTTGGAAGAGATAAATTTCATAAAAAAAAAAAAAAAAAAAGAAACTATACATAAATTAGGGGCATACATACCCCCCAGAAGAAGTTTAAAGAAAACCAGAACAAATGTGTCAATCTTTTTAGATAAAAGGATAGGAATAAACGCCCAGAAGAGAACACACAGGCTCCAAATAAAGGAGAGAGATGGGCACAAGTGCTCTAATGGAGCTAACAGGCTCAAACCAAACAAAAAAGCAAACAGGCACTGACGTTCGACAAGAGAGCACCGGCTTAGAACAAACAAGAATGGCTTTAAATTGATGATGGAAGACATACTTTCCTTTATCCTTCCTTCCGTCTCCTCACATATATAAATTCTGGTTAATATAAATTATCTACTGTGTCAAACTGCGGGAGTTTGGGCAATGCATTCAAATAATTAATCTCATAATTAATCCAATTAACAAGGGAGATATATAATTAATTAGCTAATAAAGTCAGCTAAAAAATATTTAGGTTCGTTAATGTATTGCCATATATATAATAAGATATGGATGGTTTCGTACAAGATAAATGTTAAAAAGTCTTTGTAAATATAAGAATACAAATTCTAGGTCAAACGTTTCATGCGTTTCCTCAATTACCAAGTGGGGGCTGCCTTTGAATTTGACAAAAACGTTGAA